CCACAGATTATATAAAAATTTCTGTTTAATATAAAATAAAGTTATAAAGACTACTGTTTTTTTTTTTTATGAAATTAAAACTGTTGAATGTTAATTTTTTTTTTACTTTAATATCTGGTTCCTATATGGATGGAAAATAATTATGATATCCTAATTTCATATTATGATTTAAAGTTTTAAAAAACCGAAAAGTGTAATAATCTCTACTAAGTAAAGACTGTGTATGTTCATACAAAATTTGGTTAATATACTATCCTAAACGAAGTACGGCTATTACCTAGTTCATAACATCAGTTCGATTCAATCTATATTGTAAAGATTAGGATCTTCCATTTATTTCTTTAAATGTACTTGTGGCGTATATATGTCATTTGAAACGCTATGTCTCATATTGAAACCATTTAATAATTATTATCATTCATTTATTATACTAACTTAACCTTACACGAGAATAATGCAGCCATAAAAAATGTTTATAATTCAGTCAATTGTTTTTTTGACATTCCACATATTGTCATAAATTCATAGACAAATAAAAATGGTTTATAAAAAGTATATTGTCTATGGTTTGTTTTGTTGAATGAATAACGAATTCATCGTCAATTATAATAGCGATTGTTTTATGTTTTGTCATCAATATTTTTTATTCTTCAAAACTAATCAAATAAATGTGCCACTTGAAAGTAAGTGGTCAGTCAAGGACACTTCTTACGCGAATTCGTCAGAGTAAATAACAAATGTTTCAACACCAGATATAGGATTTATTAAACACAGATAATAATTAATATAAAAAAAATAAGAAAGTAGTTCTTATATCAATCGTAATTGTATATTTGTGATTTTATCTGTTTTAGAAACTATAGATAATATTAGATTTCTTAAAGTATTAAATATATAATCTATAAATGTTCATATTAATTCTTTTTATTATATTACTGGAACAAAACTATTTTATCAATAAATTGTAATATACATATACGCCCAATAATTTTGATTGTTTTAATTGTTATAATTTTTAACCTTATGATTTTTTCTCCACATATTATACCTAATAATGTGCAAAAGCATTATTGTGTCATGTTATTGATTGTCTATGAAAATAATTACACACATATTTTATTTCTGTATTTCAAAACAATTATCGTTGTAATTATTTTAATTGCACATTATTTACGATCAATTTGAACGAGAAAATCACGTTATAAACATGAACAAAATTGTCATAGATATAAAATAAGCCGATAGTCTCTTTTTTTACAATTACTTTACTTAAAATGACTTCGCCTTAATAACATAATTTAATAATAGTGCCTGTAACTTAAATGTTATTATCCTCGTTCTTACGACTTGACAAAAACATACATACAAAAATATAATTTTTGTAGTTAAGGCGAAACAAGTTGTTCTTAATGTATACCGGCCACCGGGCGACCCTCGTTGTTTAAACAATTATTTGTGGCATGATAAACAGGAAAAAATACGGCGTATTGAGCTGTAGTTTGTATATTTTTATGTTAGTCAGTTAATAGTTAATTGTAGTCTCTTAGGTCAGATCAGATAAATAATATATTTATATATATGTTGCTGAATTTTCTGAATAATATATTATTTATACTTTAATAGTGGAGTGATTTTTTTATTTTACTCAAGCTTTTAGGAAATATGTGTTTCCGTAAACAATTCTGTAACAAAAATAGTCCTTGAAATGACGAAAATGTTTCAATAATGTTTACGAATGTTTATTACTTACGGCAAAGAAATAAAATATCTTTTAAATAATATATTTATGTAATTTCTGAACGTTCTTTCCTTATGTTTTTATTTGGGATTCTAATACAATTATTTAGGTGTATTTATTAAAATTTCAACAATCTTTAATGAGATCTAAGATTTTCGCGAGTACACATTTAAATGAAACTAATATTTTCGGATTTTACTTCGCGTTTTATTTTTGATTAGAAACTACATACTCCCGACCTTTCGGCTACTTTTCAGCAACCGTGATCACGGGCAGACGAGATGTGAGTGTCTGTCAGTTGGTCTGGTCATTTTATCTCCTACCGCCATCGATTTCTTAATTGTCTTGCGTACCGCTCTGGAATAAAACGCGAAGTAAAATCCGAAAATATTAGTTTCATTCAACAATCTTTTCTTTTAACAATCAATCTATTCTTTTCTCTTTTAGAGAAAGAGTAGAAGAGTGTACTAACTACCAGTTAGTAAATGAGAGGAAACCATTTCTTTAACTTTCATCTACGTACTTCAACTTTTTATTCACAATTATAAGATTTTTAGTTTCATAAAACTAAACATGCCTTAAAAACTGTCAGGAAAATTACATTACCTTTAATAATTCTCTTATAAATCAACTAAAATGGTTAACTGCCTCTGTATAATATTTATCACTATTTTAAATAGTCATCATAGCAATTATAACGTCATGTTTCTATTTTTCACACTTCGTTGTAATTACAATAAATTACGCGTTTCTATGTTCGAGAATATTCTTCATACAACTTTATTTATTTCAAGTCATTTCTATGTAACTTATAATAATATATACAACTTATCAGTTTTTTGTGTTGCCTTAATTTAATTCACAGCAATCACGTTGATTTGCGACGCTTGAGTGTTTTTATTCAGGAACACAATTTAATATAAAGTTAGTAGTTAGTACACTATTTTGGAAGTCAGCGGTGGCCTAGTGGTTAAAGAACCCGCCTCTCATGCATGAGGGAGCGGGTTCGATCCTGGCAAGTAGCAATGTGATTTTTCGAAGAATATTTAGACACTATTGACAGACGGTAAAGGAAAACATCGTGAGGAAACCTGGACTTATAATTTCACAATTATAAGTTTGAAATCACCACCCGTCTTGAGCAAGCGTGGTGATTAATGCTCAAACCTTCTTCATGTCATAAAGAGGCCTTTGCTCAGCAGTGGGCTCTGATAGGCTGATGACGACACTATTTTGAAGTATTCGATATTTTATTTAAAACTGATGTTGTTTTACCAAATTGTACATAAACAAATGTAACATAATTATTGGTCTTAAATAAATAATGACGTAACAATTTTTTTTATAACATTTCGGAGCAAGATCCTTGTAAATATTGGACTATTTATATTTAATAACTTGTCATTTTAGCAAAAAAAAAAAGTTTGTTTATTGCTAATTAAGACACACTACTTATTCAAGGTGCTGGTAAAGAAAAAAAAATTGTCTTCAATTTAAAAAAAAGGAAATATAATAATTATATAAACGCCGTTACTCCATTCGACAAATTCTAAGCGTTTTCTCCACACAAAACCCTTTATAATTTGTCCAACAAATAAAAACGTTGACATTGGCAAAGTTTTTCACTATTCCAGAGCGAATGAAACCATAGCATTAAATAATGATTTCAGGAGTAAAGTTTTTTTATATTATATTAAATAAAGCTAAGTTTTTCGGACATTAATCCCGATGTTTGGATTCCTTTACGAGCAAGATTATATAGTAATAAAAAACCGTCGTATCCGAACAAGTTAATTTCATTTAAATGAGTACACCTGAAAATTTTACATATTATATAAGTGCGTTAATTAATCATATCAGTCGCAACCAAGACCTCAGTTATAGAAATCCATGGATTTTATAAAGGAATTAGAATCTGTATACATCTCCCTGATCGAAATAGTATCTTTAACGTAACATGACAAAGTCTGTGGTCTGCTAGGTCCGTGGGGCCTGCTAGGACATATATCAAAGAAATCTCTATACTTTGTTCAGTTTTGCGAGTTTTTCGACTATATCTGTTAAGATTGCTAATATCTGCTAACATCAATTCATTCTTTGAACCCTGTTATGTTTGTTTCACATTTGATAGAGAGAGGAGCTTGGAAGGTGTAGGTGAGCGTATAACGCGCGTTAGATAGGGGCCCCTTAAACCTACACCTGAGTCACAAGTCCCAGGCACTGTTGAAGCTCCTCTCCCTGTAACGCAGTAGACAAGGCACCATTGAATGCAGAGTTTTCATTTATTAATACTATGCCAATTATACTTAAATAATTCATATTCTGTTATTAGCAAATAAGTATAACTACAAATATAAAAACACACTATAGACAGAAATTTATAATTAAGTTTTCCGTTTTCCGTCTTCAATAACCCGGTATTGGTATTTATTAAATTTCTCCTGTTTCAATCGAACAGAATGATTGACATATTAGTTAGTTGTCAAGTCTAATGTCAAAAAATCGTTTGTATAGGAAATAGAAAAGGGCGGTTTTTAGGGTTTTCCCGGCAATTATTCCAATTTTTCTCACCTTTTAAACCTTCCCTGGACTTCCAGGAGTATTTCAAGACTAAAATTAGCCAAATCGGTTCTGCCGTTCTCGAGTTTTAGCGAGACTAAAGAACAGCAATCCATTTTTATACAGGGTGACTGGTAAATTACTATCAATATTTAAGGAGAATACTCGGTACATGATTCTAATTCGAATTATGTAAAAAAAATAGGTATTTAATTTTTGACCAAATTCCCTTATAAATAAATAAAGTGTGAACACGTTCCAAGTGTTCCAAGTGTGGACGCGTGCGGCAGCGTGCTGATACAACAACACGCCGCCAAACGCGTATGTGTGTGTGTGTGTGTATACCTAATCTGTAGGGTGTTCACACGATGCGTAATTAATTACATAACTTTTGGTTAACTTTACTTAGAAGTTTATTAATATTTATGTTATATTAATTTTTATTTTGTCATATATGATCGTCAAATATCACGTCCTCAAATATCGATAGTAATTCACCAGTCATCCTGTATATATAGAAGATTATTTTAAGAGCTCCGTTATTGTAAGCAATTATTAATTTATTTATAGTACAAAAAATAAAGGTTTTTAAAATTTAGATTTTATTGAACTACAAATTTATTTAGTATTATAATATTAAGTATGATTGTATTTTTGACATTAGAGAGTTTTTTGTTTAAATTCTATATATTTTTGTTTCCAGGCAGCTCTTTTGAGAATTTAAAGGATAATGTCCAGCTATCTCCGTGCAACCGACCACCCTGCCGGCTGAAGAGAGGATCGAAACAGTTCATTACTATCACATTCACACCTGGTTAGTGTCTTATATATATTGAATATATACAACTCATCTTTATTTGCTTATGTTATATAAATTGTAGAGTCCATACACAATATTTTTTTTACATAAGTTGGATATTTAGTTGACTTTTGAGATAACTAAGAAACAACACCTTAAATATGTTTTTTCAAAGTCATTGTTTAAAATTTCTTCAAGTCTCAACTAGATAAAAAGTTTCAAACCAATGTTTGTAGTGATATTGTGTAGTTCAAGAATTCGTCTGAATGAATCGTAATATATGAATAATGTAATATATACTTACATTTGAATAAAGTAATATATATAAGAAAGTTTTTCATATTAACATTTAAAATCTTCTTATATTGATACTAAATAGAGACAATACATACAGGAGCCATTTTACTTATTTCTAAATGTTAACATAGTTGAACGGAAAACAATTAATTTTTAATATCTTTCAGATAGCGACTTGCCAGATCTCAAGAACCAAGTGACAGCCCTACTGGCAGGAATTCCTTTTCCATTCATCGGAGTTGACGGAGTCTCGATTTGTGACAAGCTAGAGAATGAAAAAGGAGAAAAGGTGTCTTGTCCACTCAAAGCGGGCACCAAATACGTGTACAAAGACTCCTTCCCAGTTCACAGTTTTTACCCAACGGTGGAGGCCAAAGTACACTGGGCGCTCAACAACGAAGACAAGAATGTCATCTGCTTTGAAGTACCCATCAAAATTAAATAGATCCATAGGGTTTATTGACCTTTGTGATATGTCATGTTTAGTTTAAGTGAATAGAATAAGTATTAAACAGACTTTTTCAGATCAAAGAAAAATTTAAATCAGTTATTCATTAGTGAGTTCCCAAAATTATTTGATTGATAAACTTTTAAACTTTAGTTAAATTGACGATGAAAATTCATACTAAGAGTAAAAAAAAACTCAGTACTTAGGCTCAAAAGAACTCGTATCCAGAGCTGTAAAAACATTTACAAAAAAAACTCAGTACTTTTTTAATTTCCAACTCACGACTTATTGAAATATAAAAACAATATTTAAATCTTATATGTATACATGTAAGGACAAATGAAAATAGTTTAAGATTTATACATTTTATACACTACACAATAATTAATAAAATAAGATTATTTTTGATATATATATATTGAAATACATTTTGTTATTCATCTACGAAAAAATGGTTTGAGGTAAATAAAACATTGTTTTTAATATGCGTTTATTATTATACACATCTAGGCTTAAACTACGAATAAACATTTACTATGAAATATCCAAACGAAAAATAAAAATATATATAGATTATTATTAATTTTTATTATTAAAAATATAAATCAAATACGAAATTTCGATAGAAAATTATAAGTTGTTGATTTAAATGATTTTTATTGCGACATCATTTAGTGCTGCCCTTGACGATTACCGCTGGTACTTCGAAGCACATAATATCAGTGTTGCCATCATTCAAACCCCAATGCACTTTAAGGGGTACTTGAGGGTAGAATTTCTCTATGGGGAATGAGTTGGTGTATATGTATTCTTTACCAGCAGCCAGTGGGCAAGGCGCCGGTTCACCAGAATCAGCGTGTTTAATCTGAGCGCACGCACTAGCTCCTGCCACACCAACGAATGGTAATGGCAACCCAGCTATGACAGCGTAAACATCGTTCGTCAGCTGTTTGATTTCGTGATCTGTAAAGATTTATTATATAATGAGATCTAAGATACGATTATTCGCGAGTATTCATTTAAATGTAACTAATATTTCCGGGTTACTACGCGTAATTTGTTTTAAACACACTCACGGTTGCTGAAAAGTAACCGTAAACGTCGGTAGTATGCAGTTTAAAATAATAAAAGAACGGATAATCCAATAATATTAGTTTCGTTTATATTTATCACATAGTTAATTCAATAAAAGTTATTGTTTCATGACACTCTTTCTTATTTAGAGTAAGTTCGATTAAGTATACTACAGAAGTTATTTCAGTATATCTTGTTACATAATAATCTAGAAGTTTTTAAGACCTTATCGTGAGATGAGCTATTTCTTTCTGTTGACCTTTTCGTAAGAAATAGAGTTGAGGTGTATTAAAAAGATTTAAACATACATACATATAAATATTAATGTGTACAAATTAATAATAAAAAATCCAAATAAACGTTTACTTTGTATTCGTAATTATTTTCCTATAAAGGAATATTAAGCGTTTGTTGCTTTTAAAAAATTTAATATGATATGTATTTTATAATTTTTTTTTATGCATTTAGGTATAATATACAGCGGAAAGTTGCTAATATAATACTTTGATAAGAAATAAGGAATATATTGACATCACTACCTCATATAAAACCTTATATACTCAAATAATATAACATTTGTATTTAAAACTAACCAGTGTTATTTTGAGGCTTAACTAATAAAAAAATTCTAAAATGTCTCATAGCTACCTTTATCAATTGGTAAAAAAAATCTCAGTAAAATATTAAATTATTGCCGTATTTTTAAATCACATTTAAAGACGTTTGTAGCTTTTGTTCTAATGAGTGACAATTATGTCTACTATACAATATACATACACACACAAATACATACACATATATACTTACACACACATATATACACAGACGTACAATGTTCTATAAACAGAAGTTTTCACTTCAATAATGTAAATATGATATTAACCTGGTTTAAATTTAAACACAACGGTTGTGTTCGTCCCTTTACGAAGCTTGCAGCGCGACTTGCCGCAGGGTTGAACCTGGATCCTCTCACGAAGATCCTCGTGGTTTTGTCCTGGAATTCATATAAAAATTGTTAAAAAAACATAATAACTTTCCTATTATTTGGGCCCATGGCAACGCGATGGACCCGGCACGTGCGCATTGAATCCACTGAGTGCTGAAAGGTTTCGTCTCTCTTTGGTGCTAAAGAGACGAATGATTTTGACGCTTAAATTCTTAATTCAGCGACGTTATGTATATAGCAGTAGTTTAGATGTTGTAACGACTTGCACTTTATTACAAACTAGTTTTGGCCCGCGGTTTCGTTTGCGTTAGTTTCAGAATTAGAAATGTATAGCTGACCGGGTAAACTATTCCTCCTTAGCACATGGTAGATAAGAAGATTTTGGATTTGATCAACATACTTCTTTTTCAATCGGATGAAAAGTATTCCAAGTCCTTTCTCTTCTTATATATAATCTATCTCTCAGCCAAAAACCCGTACAGTCGTTCTTCAGTTATAAATACAGTAACTAACACGACTTTCTTTTATAAAGGTACCTATATAAATGTTACGGAGTCGAATTCTGGTCAAATAAAACAGGTCAAATGAAACAATTTTTCATTGTACACCTATAACGTATTTATATAATAATTCAAGTTTTAACTCAACATTACTTTAATATGAAATACTGAAAGCCAATAAAAAAATGATACACGAAAATATAATTTTAAAAAGACGAAACCGAATTACAAGAATCACTTAAGGCTGCAGTTCTCCAAAACTGGGCATGTGTTTTGTTTTCTTTATTTTGAATATAAACTTTTGGGATTCCTTGATAAAAGAAAAAGGAATGTTTACGAATACATTTTATTTTAAACGTCCATCTACATCTTTAAACAAGATCTTTCTCAGAATCGAATGCTGGATGTTGTTTCTTAAAACTAAAGACTAAAGAGGTTTTAAATAAACAAAAAAATATATATCACCGTGCATAATAAATTTCTCATACATTTTGCTCGATAAACCTTTGTATGTAGTTAGTAAGAAAGAAAAATGTTTTACATAAGTCCAAAACTGATATAATTAATTTAAAAAAAAAACGTTGTCTTAATAAAAACTTAATTTTGATATTTTTATTTTTTTTATATTCACACGATAAAAATTTTACTTAGTATATAAAATGTAAATAATAAATTATTAAATATAGCCATTTGTTTCAATTAAAATTTCATTACTTTATGCAATATTTATGAGAAATAAAAAAACAACTATTTAATTAAATAAATTATAAATGTATAATTTAATTCAAATTATTTATTTAACAGTGTTATGTTTCTCAACTATACGGATTAAAAAATAATATAAAATCATGTTTATTGTAAAAAATATATATCGAGTAATTTAACTTTATATTTTTTGGTTTACCTTTGTTTTGAAAATCAAGCTTTTGGCGAACGAAACTAAATCAAGTCGACGAATTAACGTATCGATGAACCTGAATTTCATTTTATTATTAAATTAGTAATTGATAACCGTGACTTTGCACGCGTTATTTGATAAACAATATTTTCGTATAAACTAAAGTATCCCTAACATTAAATACGAAGGGTTTTTTAAATTTATTCAATACTTATGGACCAAAAAAAGTCAAATCTATGTCTTGCGGCGATGAGCTCATAACCAAGTCCGTCAAGTCTCAACTTTAAAAAATATAAATAATAAATTTATTTATTTTGTATATGTTTTAACGGCTCTGGATACGAGTCCTTTTGAGCCTGTTATTTTATTTATAAACGTACCTATGTAGATATTGCCATTATGCAGAATATTAAAAACGGAATTAAATAGTTCTAACAGATAGTTTTAGTGATTTTATTTTTATTTTTTCAAAGGACAGCATTTGTCTGTGTTTTTAGAATAATTTTCTATTATAAATCCTGCAACAACATATATGATAATACAATATAATAAAATAAGGTTGTATAGGTATTGTGATATATTATGAATACTAGTTTAAAGAATGTAACCTTCGCCAACAAAGACAAGATTATGATTTATTATTTAAATACATTATGTATGTGCGTATTTTTTTTCATTAATAAAAAAAATACTTTTTTGAATTAAACTTCAAAATGTTTAATAACAATGAAACAATAATCATGTTAATTATATAAATTTGAATATTTTTAATCGTAATATTTATTTACAATTTTTTTAATCTAGTTTTTATTGAGTTGTAATATAAATATGTCATATACTTAAATAAAATATGAAATTATTAAAAGGTATTACTGTTTCATGATCATATTTGTCGTTACTACGTTAAGATAAAGTTATGAGATATTTTTTAAACCAGGAAGGATTATTTTTTATGTATGTTATTATTAATTGACATGGGAAAGTTAAAATGCAATTTAAACACAATATATGTCAAAACACGATGAAATAAAATGGCAAGAGATTTAGTATAGGTTAATTTTTATAAAAATATTTTATATTAATTAAAGTATTAATAAAGCAGAAGTAGAAACACGATAGGTTAAAAAGCTACTTCACCATAAAAATGAAAGATGCTAAAAGATAGAAAGAAAAGCCCTTACACTCGCCAAAAATACATTAGATGAGGAATCTATACTAATATTATAAAGCTGAAGAGTTTGTTTGTTTGTTTGTTTGTTTGAAAGCGCTAATCTCCGAAAGTACTGGTTCGAATTGAATAATTCTTTTTGTGTTGGATAGTCCAGTTATCGAGGAAGGCTGTGGGCTATGTAACATCACGCTACGACTAATAGGAGCAAAGACATAATGGTAAATGTGTAAAGAACGGGAGAAATTATTTCATCTTTGAGGCCTTCCGTTGCGTGCGCCGTGAAAACGGTTCAAGATACACAAAAATATGTATTCAAGAATAATAAGTAGCTCTTTTAATGATCTAAAAAACAGTCCGCGACAGTATATGTCTATCTTTTAAGATTAACTCACCACAACCGTTTTTATGGTACCTAATTTGGTCGAAATAATTTGTTTAAGTCGTATCAACATATATTAATCTTTATTCAAATAAACATATATTAATCTTTATTCAAATAAACAAATAAATATGTTGTTGGTTAAGAGTACTTCATTGTGAATTTAAAAAAAAAACATAGATTTTATCCTGAAAATTCTACGGGAACTCGACCATTCCGAAAACCCCGTAAGAACGGGAACTATGTGGGAAGAACCAAAAATCTGCCGGAAGTCACTAATCCACGCGGACGGAGTCGCGGCAAAAGCTAGTTAATAATAAATTTTGTACATATTTTAGTATAAATTCATTAACAATTAATTTAAATCGCCTTTTTGACCAAAATTGGGGAATGTTAAGCCAATTTGGTAATGTTAAAATTAGATGATGACACAGTAACTTTTTTTTGTTTTGTCACTCGGCTAATGTCTCTATGTATATTATATTCTAATTTAAACCTAGTGTTAATATAACGAATATTTTTCTTTGTACCTTATATATAGTAATTATTATTAGTATTATATATGGCTTCTCAACATAAACATAATATGTTTCTACTATATGTAAATAACAATGGCTGATAATAATATTTCTTTATTCATATGTCCTGTTTCAATTTACGACCATTTGTAATATAACTTTAAAATTATTGTATTGTTAATTACTTAATAAATATAAAAGTTTAAAATTATTATACAGAATGATTAATATTTCACGCCTTAAAAAACTTACCTATATGTCACAAATATAAATCTATCTTATTTATATACTAAATAAGTTTTTTTTTAAATATTCCATCTTAAAAAAGGTTTGAGGAAACTTCAGAATCTTTTTGGGAGGTTCAAAAAAACTACCACCAGTGTTTACAAATAAAACCTCGTTTCTCAGTTTCAATGTTTTAAGGGGCCATTCAAGTATTACGTAAGCACTATGGAGAGGCGGGGGGGAGTCTTTGCTTTGCTTATTTTGGATGACATGGGGGGTAGGGGAGTCTAGGTGATGATTACGTCATCGGTAGTTATTTACTTTTTAATCGTCACATCGAGAAGATCCATAAAAAATTACAATTATAATTTTTTTATGGATTTATATTTAAAAAAAAACAATACAGTAGGTAATTGAAAATGTTTACGTAAGCATGGGGGGAGGGGGTAAGAGCTTTGCTTACTTTTGCTGACAAGGGGGATGGGGGGATAAATATTTGTAATAAATCTGCTTATATAATACTTGAACGGCCCCTAAATTTCGTAATATAAGGGAATCAACATTCTCAAATCTTTTAAGGTTCTTAAAAAGCTTGTTTTTAAATTTATATAAGGCGTTTTATTGTAAATTTATAATTAAATTTAATATTAATTATAAATTTACAATAAAATATATGATACAAAATGTATCTGTTAGTCATTATTCTGTGTTTATTGTTAAAATACAATAAAATGCAAAAATATTATAAAATATGGAACATAAATTGTACGTATCTAAAGCTAATAGCTATTATCTAACAACTCTTTGGTCATAAAACGATTAAAAAATAAAAGAAACAAGAAGAAAATCGATTCTGATTTAAGAAAACAAGTTTTTAGCAAAAGATAAAGTAAGTACATTAGCAGCCTTAAGCCTTTAACCACAAATTTATATCATTTTATTTAATGTTATATGAGGATCGTTTTCAGGTTTCCTTTCAGAAATCTACGTCTATGTTTTTATACGTGAAGATTTATGAACGAAAATGTGACCATGTTCCATAAGAACTATGCAAACCTAGATTAAGCATAAAGTTCCCGTCGTCACACTACAAACGAGGCGTTACTCGTTTCTCGTTAAATAACTTAATACGTTAATACTGTATTAAAAGTTAATGGAAAACTATTATGTCTCGGTATTTACCATGGCTTAGAATACCTTAGCGTTCTGATTGAAATACAGCAGTAAATTATATAAGTTCAACAGTAAATTATATAAATCTTTATAAATATAAATTCGCTTGAATATTTAAAATTTTAGGTCATATATGTACCTAATATTAAACAATATCACATATGACATTGAGTAGTTCTAGCTTTGGTCTCTTAAAATCGTATAAAAATTTGCATTGCCATCCAAAAAACCGGCTGTGGCAAGGTTTTTACACTAAATATTCAGTACAACTATATCCAGAGACTAAAATAAAAACATAAAAATGTTTATGATACAACTATGTAAATGTATGTAAAATTTTAATACGAAATTTATTACGTAGATACCAAACAGTCAAAGTAAAAAAAAAAAAATTTCTTTATAGTTATGATTTTTTTATTGTCTATTCTTGTCTGACACTCATAAAAATGAGGTTTCTTATGCGGTTAATTGATTGAGATCAAGACACAATTAACTTCAAAGATTATATTCCTTTAACTTGTTTTTAATATCTATAGGTAGTTATATTCTCACTTTTGAACTAAGACCAACTCATTCATGCATAGGTCTTTATAATTATATATTTTCTTGTATAAAAATTAATAGTTAAAATTGTATACGGCTTCTGTACAAAGTACTAGTGAATTTTTATTTAATTTTTTTTTTGCTATATCATTAAAATGATCTTTAATAAATTCATTTCCACATAAAAGTGCGGCAGTTATATTTTATACAGGTTTAAGATGTGATACAAAATCTAATCTTTGTGCTTTTTTTTTAATAGTTTTGACATATATGACAGTATGTACGTCGTTCTAATAAACAGATTATTTATTAGTTTCACATGTATAACTCACTTCTCAGATAATCTATCGTTTTTATGTTAATAGTATAATTATATAAAAGCATATAAAAATCGATTACAGGATGCAATCATTATAATTATTATTTCTTATGATATATACATTTTTATATACTCGCCAGTCGCCACTAATATAATTATGAAAACGAACTCCGTAGAACGTAAGTTATTTAGATTATGAAATAGTATTTTATAATAATCAACAAGAATTATATAGTATGTATTATATAAGTTATCGCCTTCGCAGAAGATTGAATTTTGAATTTCATTACGATTCATGATTCTAAGAATAATGATATTTTTTAAGTAATGAATTAATATTTGATACAAAATCTTGTAGATGAATAATCTTAACGATCTTTTACATTTTCCAAAATTACCATAATTGGTTGCCAAAAATGATGTACTAAATTATCTTCATTTTATTTACAATTTGAGATTTCCGCACAGATTGATCTATATGCAAATCACTTTAAAAAATAAAGTATGCAAAAAAAGCAGTACACGTCATTATATTAACAAAGTTGACGATTGCCGATTTTCAATATATATATCGATACATACCTATATCGAAAAAATTTAAAAAGATTTTTTTTTAATAAAAATACGTGACATTAAATCATTTTAAAATTTACAAATTATGTGTTATAACATTATGGCTACGATAATGTATATAATCGTAGGTACTAATAGGTAATCATTCTACGTATTTCAGTGTATAAATTAAGTTATTTAAATATAATTCCTCACCTGGACATTGTTCTGATGGAGTTTCGTCACCCCGAGCGGCGATAATCGTAACCGCCAAAAGTATCGCAACGGTTAAATAAGTTTTGTTCATATTTAGTTTCGAGACGACCGTTTGCAAAAACTGACAAGCCTCTAATAAAGAATCGTCAGATCTAATCAAACCTGTTTGAACGTCAACTGAGCCAAAGGTCGCTATTTGCAAGAGCGCGAACACAAAGCAAACTGTCGATCTTCTAATTGGATACAAAGACGAGCTACATTACAACCGAACGCTCGTTGGAAATGCAATCCCTAATCCGATTATGCTTATGTCACGTTAAAATAGGACTTCCCTTAATTGTTATTACCTGAAACACTTTTACTATATAAGTATTGAGGGGATAATCAATATTCTTGCAATATTACTGTAATCCCAACAGAAATTACGAAGCCACATAGTTAATGTGCATAATATGATTAAGTTGCTTACGTAATGTTATTGAAGTGAAAAATTACGCTTTGTTGAGAATTCATTTTTCACATTTTGTGGCAAAAAGTAAGACAATATCTTAAAGTAATGTATGAAAGCGTGTTTGTATGTATAAGGAATTGTCCTAAACAGAAAGCGGGAAGAACAATTATAATACATATATATGTCTTGATTTGTCTACACAACACTAGAGCCACCAAAACCTAAAAAAAAAACACTAAAATTCAAAGCGAGTTTTGGACTCATTAATGTGAGGTCAGTTTTTTCTTCCGAGACAATCAAAACTGGAATTAAAATAAAAAAGGTATCAAAATTATAATCACAAAAACATAACAATGTATTATTTTAATTCACAATATTATTATTTACAAAAAGTTATTAAGTTACTACATTTTATGCTTATGTAAATATAGTTTTGAATTTTTAATAAATAGCAGATTTTAAAATGTTTTGTTGTTTTTGTCTATTTGTGTCTATTGAGTATACGTATTATTTATCCTTAATTGTTTTTATTCCAAAGTTTTATTCCCACAATATGATAAATAAATCATACATAATATGTTCAATTTTCATTAAGTATATATAAGATTTTAGTTACTTACTCTTTGCATAAAAGATTTCTCTGTAACAAACAAAGACGTCTGAAAAAATCGCACAAAACTTTAACTAATGAATTCGAAAAATTTGGAGATTTTACACAAATAATTTTTTTGTACATTACATTTATTGCCCGTATAAAGACATTGATTAATGATTTTATATATCATACATACTTTTATATATATATCATTAGAAAAGACGTGAGTCAGTGCTGCATATTTACACCTATACTTATTTTACGCCGTTTTTTAATATATCATATTTATACCAATTATTCGACTTTACGTCGTTACACATCCACCTAAGACAACTTCTAAGCTATTTATTTGAGACATTTTGAAAAGCTTTTTTTTTTTTGAAAAAGACATTTATAAAAGAAATACATAAGTATGTAAGTTGTTTTAAGTTAATAATGAAAATAATCGAAAGTATATTGGAATAAAATTCTTATGTACATATATCTATTTTGTAGATGTCTTACAATGCTGGATAGACGATGGTATTTAAGAAGAACCATATAATATGTTTAGCGCCCTATGGTAGGTAATTGTTAATGTATTTTTCCTCGGTCATGACTCTAGACACTTTGCACGCAAAACACTTCGTCAATGAGAGAACACGGCTATTTTTAAACTTTCTTCACAATCTACGCAAAGTTATAATTTATTTAATAACAGTTTTTATTTTACAATTTTTCATTTTGTATACCTACCTACCTAAGACATTTAAATGAGAACATCTAAAATTTGCTGAAACAGATTGTTTGACTCTATGTGACTGTAAAACAAGTAATTTATTAATAATACAGAAGCAAAAAGTTCCAGTGGGGAGTCATTTTCGTAATTTGCTACTACCTATGTGCCATAAGATTTTAAATTACATTGTAAACATTAAAACTCCGATAGATGATAGATCAATATGGGAAGGTGTATGAATAATTATCAGTCATTTTAAAAATAGCTTGTATCTACCTATAGTTAAGGTAATCTCTTAAATCAGCTTATCGTCATCTACTACTAAACGTAACCCTCCCTTTCCCAAAAGGCGCCAAGTATTCTGTTCTTTGGCAGCCACAAAAAGCTGGCATTCATCTTTCTCTATTCTCTAATACTCGGTCACAACATGGTTATTTAATGTCATGTCAATTCCAATCGACTGTCTTGAAGACTCAACTGTGAAAGACAGTATCTTCTAAGTTTCAGTGGATAATCAAACAGTTTCAACGAGATCACATCTCTCTCTTCCCTCGCCGTTGCAATAGCCTTGGTCCTGTTCTTCGTGCTTGTACTTTGATTCACAAAGTGACAGTGCAATCAAACGTCTCCAAAACTTGAATGTGTGTATCGTAGACCGTGGGTATCTTTTGTTCACTATGTTCTACGACATTATGTAGTGACTAGTATATTAACAATCCAGTGGCCACCTTGGAACAGTTGGTATTCCTCTCCGAAGTAAACTAAGTGTTCTTAATAGTCTCATCATATCTTCACCTTGTCTTTGGTTTGCCGCAGCCAGAGTCCATTATGCGTCCGCTATTGTAACTTTATTCCTATTCTAATTCAACAAGGTTTTCGTTCAGGCGACAACGTTTTCAATGTAGCCACATGTAGTTATTTTTAATAAGCTGCTATATCCCATGGGATTTTTAGCATCCCACCACATCGTTACGATGACCCCTACCTTGTCATTTGTGGCATAATAATCTTATCGGTAACAAAAAGCCTGGATTTTGAGTTCTCTCATCAAGATATTGCCTTAGTCACACGCTAGACAGGCGGATTGATAACCAAAGTTACTGGAACCTTTCTCTGATGCCGCTGCTACCAATCACTAGGATTAATTTATATTGGTTCCAACCTCTATAAGGACATAACCAACCATATGCTTCGTCTTGTAATATACAGGATACACCACAAGAAAGCGATATTGATGGTAAGGATAAAGGAACCCTAGAAAGTAATTGGTCACCTTTCTCTTCTCACTTCATTTTATTTAAGGTTAACAAAAAATAATAAAGTCATTATAAAAAAAGATTTATTAAACTAAAAAATACTATGAGTACATTAAATGAGGCAGATTATAATTTTTTTTAAAACTAAATAACTTACGTTGGCCTAAAATTATATATATATTAAATTTTGTTCAAAAATTTAAGGGAAATCTTTATTTGTTTGTACAACATTTTATTGCTTATATTTATAAAACATGAACAGTATGAAATAAATGTAAAAAAAAGGTTTTTTCATTTTATAAATTCTTGGAATTTTTTATGGGTAACTCATGAATTTTGGGTTATAACCCGAACTATGTTTGTTAATAAAAAAAAAACTATTATAATAATAAATATGTAAATACAGTAGTTACATGAAAATAAATAAATATTATACATAAATACATACATGAACATTTTCAAAGTTTTTTATAAAAAATCTCTTACAAAAAATATTTTTCATATTCACAATGTTATAAATATCAATGAAAAAGCACTTAAAGACATTTAATGAATAACAAATGTGGAAAAATACCTCTTTAAATAAACATTATAGACATATACAGCTGAGATTTTCAAAAAAAGTATTTTAATCGTGAGATTCAGTATAAATATTCTGTAGTCACTAATACGTGACTAACAAGCTATTGACATAATCAAATTCAACAAAAAAAAATCAATTTGAAATAAATTTTTCAAAAACAATTATGTATATAATATAAACAAAAAAATATATTTCTTCTTAAAAACCCTTTTCTTTAGTTATATTAGGGTTTAAAATTATATTAAACATTATTCTGATATATCTATTTTAGTATGTTTTTCAGAAATCAGGCAAGCTATTTATTAATAAACTATATTAATTAATTACAACTAATAACATATCCATTACGAGATTGCTTTGTAATACTATTCTATGTGGTAAACTTTTCCTGACAAATTTTATGTATTAAATCTTAATATAAAAATAAATTTAATTTACAAAAATAAAATAAACTGTAACTGAACTTACATAATAGTTTTGATTAAATGTCTAATTTTTAATAAAGTTTTTGTTATTAATAAAAAAAAAACTTTTCGAAATTCTATGACAAAAACATCTTTTCCTTTTATTCCCACTATAAAAATAGTAAAAATCCTTATTTAAAATATCAATATTATACCTTAAGAAAATTGTAGTAATAAAATTATGTAATACTTATAATATAAGTCAAAATACTGAAATAGTATGAAATAAATATTTATCCATAATATTATATAAATTCTGCTTTACACAGAAATACTAATAAACTAATATTTGGTAGGTCGGTGTATGACTATTGCTTTCTTTGTCCGTTTGTTGTTTGTCATGTGTGTTTGAGATTAAATAAAATAAAAAATTAACATAACATATAGAATATAGCAAAAATAAACAGATTATTTATATTGAGTAAATCTAAATAAATATTTATTATCTGTCCGGTTTCACATATTTCTTGGTGAGAGTGTCTATGGGCAACTTTAATAATGAATCCTTCATGTTACCACAGTTTGATGGCGGTGCCTCATTCAAATATTTATCCATATTCGTCAATACTTTCATTCGATCTGACCCAATCTCGTATTCATTGATAGCTCTGTATATTGCCTGGAAATATTATGAATATTTAGTTGTTGTGTGTCACATTTAAGTTCTGCAAAATTATATTTTTTTTAAAAAGTCAGTAATTAAAAGACAAAGTTAATATCTTATTTTATGTTTAAATAGGAAAAAAAAATATTTATTTCTTATCATATATGATTAGGATACCTCCTCTCTTAAAAACATGCTTATTATTTACACAATTATAAAAAATTCAAGGGTATCAGGAATATGTGTTAGTTATTGTTATAATAGACATATTATGGAAAGAAAAAACTTGTTACATAAAACCTCTAAAGAAGGTATAACTTAATATTTAAATATATTAAACAAAATCTTGGTGCTAACAATAATTAAGTAAACAGAAGAGATAAGCAATGGGACCTAAAAAAATTTGGAAGACCAGAAACATTGAAAATTAATGATAATGCAGAATGGTCCAAGTTCAGTAATACCCCGCTTAACGCGACCCCGTTGTGCACGGTTGCACTATAACACGAATTTCAAAAATTTATTCAGATTTGGACATATTGCACAGTAAAGATAACCGCGCCTTGACCGTGTGTCAAACAATTAAAAACAGTGTTGGGTGTTATGAACTTATTTTACAAGAACGTAAACAAAACGCTACCCAAAAGACAATACATGTATTTTTTCGTAAAAAATAGGAGTACCTATGTATTATATAGTGTTCTTAAAATAAAAGTGATTGATTAAAATGATTTTTATATTTGTGTATTAAATTTTGACTGCGTTTAATCATTAACCTCGATATACGCGAATTTCAGTTAACGCGATTTTCTTCGGAACGTATCCCTCGCGTAAAGCGGGGTATTACTGTTCTTAGCTTGTATATATGGACAAAGACAAAAAAATATAAAAAAACGAACCTGAAATGCTGGCTGTTTGTTATTATGGAATACACCACGACTCCCGTGTACCACGAGCACGCCCTGTGACGCCGGCTCACAGGCATCCCCATACACACATTGATCCGACCTGTAGTTGTAATTACAAGTCATCACGCACACAGCATTCTCGTGGTAGTGGAATATTATGTTGATGATATCCTGAAATAAAAATAATCTTTAGTACATAATTCATATTGAAGGAATTATACGTATGTTAAGGCAGTCTTATCGGTAGTAGCAAACCCTAACAAGAGATAGGAAATGCAATAATTATAAGTGAAACTATATTTATAAGTTTTACAGTGAGAGCCAAGACTATTTAATCTTGCATAGTTCATTCATTTAAAAGAATGAATAATTAATTAAATAAAATGACAGTATAAAATGATAAAATACAAAACATTTATACATACTTTTAAAATATTACTCTTAACAATATCTAACATTTAAATATACACATTTCCAAAGAACTATATATTTAGGATCCCACTAGTATTTTTTATTTTAACTCTTTTCTTTGTTTTGTTTACTTCATAGAAATTGTGTTTATAAGAAAAGTTGACTTTCTTATTACATGATACATCTATTTTTTATAAAAAATAAATAAACATACATGCATACATTACATCCTACAATAAAATGCTTATATATAATGCGCAATTTATACAAATTACCTGATCACCCCAAGGTATATACAATTTCCATTTCAACATGATAGGGGTGACATAATCTACCCAACCAAAATCCCTCATTCTCGTCAAGTTCATGAGCATAACACCTGAATTGAGTCCTGGAACAATACAACAGACATAAGATACCATAAAAATCTATAAATATACTATTAACATTGAAGCAATGTTGATATAATATTAAAATTCCAATAGAAAATATAGAATGAGATTTTCATCAACATATATGTTAGTTGTGATAGTGGTCTTCTTAAGAAAACCTAATATATAGCTTTCTCGTCCTTGTAGGACATTTAAATATATAAAGTTCTAAATTAATCCCCTCCAGACAAACACAACTTAATTGGTACGGCAATGCAAATAGAATATTCTGGAAACAAACCAATTAGAATAACAGTATAAAGATATTACCTACCATATTTTCCATAAAATGGATGTTTAGCAAAGCGAGGATACCAGGATATATTAGGGTTATCATCTTCGAGGGCCATGGCTGATATTTGAGTTCTGTTCATTTTATAGAACACTTCCCAAAGCCGATCGGCTGGACCAAGGAACAGTGTGTCCGTATCCACATATATCATGGAATCTATATGAGTTATTAAGTTCTGGAAACCAAATATTTTGAGTTACATACTGTTACATATATCATCATTATCAGCCTATCAGCGCCCTGAGCAAAAGCATCTTCTCACATGAAGAAGATTTAGTTACATATATAAATTTTGATAATCAATAATGCACTTGGAATGCTAAGATTTATATAGAATATTATTAGTTATACTGCAGATCATTCTAGAATCATATAATTAAAATAATTTAAAATTTCTTGTTATAAATGTAAGCTATAAAAAACTGATAATGGGATAAAGGGAATGTGCTGGCAAGAATTGGTGTTTCTACAACAAAGTATTTAACATAAGAGATGTGATTTTTATGAAGTATCAGACAAAGTCCAAACATTTGTATAAAAATATGACAAAATTCATGTATTCTAATTTATATAAAATATTTATGTATTTCAAATCTCAATGAATTTCTAAAGTTTTTCATTTCTGTTACTCACAGGTATAAATAATCTCTGGGCTGCACATTTGCTGAAAAGATTCATCCAATCTTCCTCATGAGCTTTGGGAAATTTAATTTTCTGCAGTTCAAAGTCAAATTGATCCTTCAAGATATCCTTCCATTTGGTCAAGGTTTCATTAAATTTATTTTTAAACTTATCATCAGAGAATATAACGAAATATGTTGGTGTTTTAGTGAAAATTAAAACTGACTTAATAACATTTAAGGACTCATTGAATCTCGAGTCACAAACTACAAAAGATATCACTATTCTATCAGTGTTTGTCTTATTCTTGACAACATTAAACCTAAAACAAAACACAAACTTTATTTACCTTAAACTTATGTTGAAGTAACAAAACATTATTTCGAACTTACTTTAGACCATTATTTACATCCTTATGTTGTGTAGAGTTAAGTTTGATACCATTTGTAATATTACTTGAGGAATAAAAATAAAACAACGTAAACAATAAAAACAACAAAGTACAAAGTTTAAATAGTGAAACTCGTCTCATATTGAGATCTTAAATTAAATAATAACAACACATCACAAATAACATTACTTTTTAGTTTTACATGTTTCGTCCGTCTTAAGTTTTAATTTTATCTCATATACAGTTAACAATACGGTTTGTAATTTACTAGAAAAAATGTCGTTACGAATTGTCAAACAAAACTTTTACACATTTGACACCTGGTAGGTGGCAGCTGATAAATTATAACACTCAAAAATTATAATAGGTAGGTATGTCTTATATTAAAAATCAGGAAATAATAATAAAATCAATATCAACAAGGACATCAGATTCCAAAAAAAAACAAATACATCAGGAATTTATAATATATGTAATAGTATAAGTTCCAAATTCCATTGAAATTATTAAATACACTTCGGAATTATTTTTTTACTGTTATAAAAATCATTGAATACGACTGTTGAATAACTTTTTTATTTACACTATTATCTTTTAATTCTGTTTTTCTGTTTCATTTAAAATAAAGTTATATAACATATTTAGTAACTAATTGGAATGAATGAATAAGAAAAGCCCGGATTTTATTTTTCGTATACATCCGTACAAATTTAAGACAGATGGATTGATTGTAAATAATAACGTTTTTGGTCTCTTTATTAAGAAAAACTATTATAATATTTTATTTTTAAATACAAATACCTTCTAAATAAATCTTTAATCCACCAGCAACAGTAAAAATTGAGACATCAATATTACTAGAGACGTCAATATTAGTAGCGTTACTATTTTATGTAATTTAAATATTAAGAATATATTAAAATATCTTGTGTTTAGAGTACAGTGTACTTCTCATGTTTATTGATAGTTATGACTAATTTTTGTCCCATGAACTGTCATTGTCATACATAATAAAATAAGTAAATCGCGATTGATGTCTTAGAAGCAAGGTCGGGAGTTACGTTTCGTCTGATTTGAATAATAATTTTCCGGGAAAGTGGATACTTTGTTATCTGAGGGTGTCGTTTGTTAATAAATAAACATGGTCGTTGGTGCCTTTCCTATCGCGAAACTATCAGTTTTACTTATAAAACAGATAAGTAAACCAATAGCTAATATTTGCAAAGAAAGAGCCAAAAATAATCCTTTTTTCAGAACCTATGTGTGTATGCCACCAGCTCAGTGTAAGTAGAACACTTAAATTTCATGTTCATATGTTATTATTACCTACGAACTTTTCTTTTAAATATATATTCTTTTCCAGTCTACAATTGGTGTGAAGTGAAAGCTAAAATGTGGATATTAAATTTAGGAAAACCAGTAAATATTCCTGTTCTGAGTCAAGAAATGGCTATAGAGCTAGGAGCAAACCTTCTTGGTGAAACTGTTATATTTGTTATTGGTGCTGGTTTACTTGTCATAGAATACAACAGGTAAAAAACATTTAACTAAATTGATAATTTCTTAAACGATTATTGTTATAATAAAATTGTTTATATCTATCAGGCAAAGTAAAAAGGAGGCTGCAAAAGAAGCTAAACGAGAGGAAGAATTAAAACACATAACTCGGACAATAACGGACCTGTACTTCACCGTTCAGCATCAACAGACACAGCTAAGAGAAATGGAAAGAATGTTTCATGCACTGGACCCTAAGACTCCAAATTCTACACCACCATCTTCAAGCGGACCTTCGGGACCAAAACCAAACCCAACACCGCCTACACCACCCCCAGTCATCACGATTAGACCCCAAAATCTGAGCAGCTCTATGGAATACTCTTCAACACCTTATCCAAATAACAGCGTGATTCTCCAGTCACTGAATTATATACAAATGGATGTTTTTAGTGCATTCTTTAATCGTTCAAGCAACTCGGAAAATATTCAAAGGGTGGACAAAATGCAAGCCACTTCGAAACGTGAACCGGCACTTCTGTCGGAAACATTACACAACCTGGAAAATAACTTTAGAAGCCTATTTTGAAAAGAGATGTAAATAACCAGATCTAAAAGATCAAATTGTAGTTACCTATTTATTTTTTAATTATTTAAGATAGTCTTTTTTATGAGATTTAATTTTGTGAAAGGGAATGTTATATGGCAAGTTTTTTTAACATATTTTGTTTGCATTGCTTGGAAATGATTTATTAGGAGAACTAATGTAGTCTCTTCGTAAAACAATGCTTGTGCAATTATTGTTATATACAAATATTTTACCAACAAATATATAAAAAAGTTATGATCTTGAGTATTTCATACTTAATACACCATTGTAAAATGTTAGAATAGTTGTAAGTGTAATAAAGTTCTGCAAATCAAATTAATGTTCAATAAAACCTCAGTAACATAATATTTAAATATTTAATATTTATTGCTCAAGCCACTCATCCATATATTTACATTCTTGAGGTGTTATTAATCCTGTTGAATTGCATTTATGTATGAGAGGGCATACTCCGCATGGTACTTGAACTAAACCTGGCGGAGGTAGGAGAGATTCTATAGCCCTATAAACTCTGTTGCCGTCGGGATACACATTACTTTCAGCTTTCCCATCATAAACTAATGTGTTCAGAATAGTTATAACATCTTCAACTTCTAGTTTAACCTGAAAAAAGTATAGTATCGGTAAAAATGCAGAAAACAATATTTGATAATGCAAATTCTTACTTCAGTATCAACATTTTAAAATATTTACTCACTTTACTTATACCTAAATCAGTGATATATTTCTGAACCTCGGCAGCGGTCGCATAGGACTGTGTACGGCCGACTATGGGACCTCTCGGATTATTTTTAATTTTATCAGCCCTTTGTTGAAGGAATCTCAAGCACTGACGATTGAGAATGTCAACAAATTCAGACTCAAAATCCTGGTCCTGATACCATGCACCACCAGATACCGATCTATCAGGCTCTAAATTAAAAAGCATATAAACTTTTTTCTTGGATGCCTAAAATTAAAAATATATTTAAAAAAAATTATCAGGCGATTGAGACAATGTATATAATTATACCTACATTAACACATTTGACGGCTTTAATAACTTTCTTGCCTTCCAAGCTTTTTAAAACTTTCGTTAGTTGTGTATTAGCCAGATTTGATCTAATTCTTATGTCTCTTATCCATATTCCCTTATTGCCAGCTTCCTCTATTAAATTATAAACAACCTTTTCTTCATTATCAGCCCCTTTTATTGCTTGTTTGGAGTTTTGATTCTTCAATCTGAAATTGTAGAATGCTTTACGTAAAAAGCTACTGTGATTATGGTCGAAAGTTTGTTTATAAACCTCACTTGTTTTGAACTATGAAAAATGCTAATAGTACCTATATAGTAAAGAGCCCCCTTGATTATATAAATCGAAAACCCCTTGCTGAAGTAATTTGTTGATCGCCGCTACGAGTTCAGCTGAAGTTAGTTCAGGCACTGCGGCTGCCATATCTTTGTCAGATATTCCTTTTGGATTTTTTCTAGCAACATTCAATATTTTTTCAGAAACTTCATCACTCTTATTATCACTCATTTTTAAATGTTAACCTATTTTTACACGTTTAAACTGTTCTTAGCTAAGCCTCTTCTAAATACAAAACTAAATGAATTTAATTTCGAATTTTGTAACAAAAGGAGATTTTAAAGGATGCCTTTTTCTTATTTTATACTAATTTCATACATTCTTTCAATAAACAATATTTTATATTTTTATTATTCAATAAAAGAAACAAGAAACAGCTGATGCCGGTGAGCTGACATTGACATAAAACTAGTGTGAGTATAGAAAATTGTTAAACGAAGGAAATCACGTTTTAATAATTATATCCAAGACTGGCAAGTATATATTTAAATAAAAAATGGTAAGTTCAAACTATTTTAAAATGGTAAATTATTGAATTTTCCTACATAAAATAAGCTGTTTTGGTGTTCTTAAATGAAATACCTAATTTTTTTTTGACAAAACATTTTTCATTCGAGGAGAATTTCGTTAAATTAAAATTCATCGAATTAAAATGGGTTACTGAGAGTTGTAATTTGTTTAATAATATTATTAATAGAGGTTCTCTTAGTATTTTAATAATATATTTTTTATTGTAGTCACAGAAGTGTCATGTCTGTTTAATGACATTGTAGTGTATACTAACTAGTTACTGTCAAGTGTCAGAACATAGTACTTCGACGTTCGTGAAAATAAAAAACATAAAATCTCAACTTTAAGCTGGATACACCTCTATTTCACTATATATGACTTTTCACAATGTCCTCTCAGGAAATAAAACCTATGCCTTTAAAACTTTATAATGCAATAGTGAAAGACTTTAATAAACTAGGTTCGTTTAGTAGAAACGCTGAAAATGATTTACGGAAAAAATATAAAGAGTGAGTACTTTGCGAAAAATAAAACTAACGAAAAGTATTAAATTTTCTATGTATTCATTGATTTTTTTTAACGATCATATTATATGATAAGTTTACTTTGGATAATATATTATAATCATTGATTTTAATATATTTTGCCGGTTTTGTAGTGTGCCGAATGAAACATTGGGTAGCATAATATCCCTAATTGTTCAACGTGCTATGAAACAGAGTTATAGAAAGTCTCCTGTAATATCTAGCAAATACTATGAACTGTATGAGGAAATGATGAAAGACAATAAAAAGGGTGATGTCATACTCAAGTAAGTTACAATTGGGTTCATTGGGAATTAGTCTTTACAACTGTATGGATATAACTTGGGTAGCACACAAATGATTAAAAAAAAACTTGTGATGGGATGAATATTTTAGTCCTTTGATAAGTTGTGTTTTGAATTCAAGTCTGTCAATAAAAAGTATCTCTGTTTATGCTATATACCTACTTAAATATTTAATTTTTTTTTTATCTAAAATGATTTCCAGGCTAGCTGATAGTCAAGGTATTAGTCCGGCTCTATTTGTTAGATCGTTGCTGCAAAATGCTTACACGGATTCTGTTGCTGTAAAAAAATATATTAAAGATACAACACTGATTGAAAATAAGGATCTAGCATATCAAGTTTTTATGGTATGTTTAATTATTTAATATTTATGGAATATTTTTTTAATTATTTGAAAATATTTAATTTAGTTTATAGTAAACAGTTTTATGTTATTTTGTGAGTGAATTTGATAATTGTTCCTTTTTAAGGCCGTAATATCATTTAAAACTAAAATAATTTTTTTTCAGGGTATTATGTATGATAATAGGTACGGGCCACATTTAGATATTATGAGGCAGTGAGTATGGTTTTAGAGGCATTCTTGTTGTTAAAATTTAATATTTCTATTAATTTTAATTTTTCATTAAGGTCCATAGGTTTGGAATATGAATTACGACTAGAGAGAGAGCTAAGACTGATGAATATATCATTTTCCGATGAAAGCGTACTCAGGTTACGAGGATATGATAAGACACCAGACTTCAAATTAGACGTTCCGATTGCTGTTGACGGCTTCATTGTCAATTGGATAGAAAGTAAAGCTCTCTTTGCCGATGACGAGAACCACTTGGGCTATTTGAAAGAACAGCTGATGTGCTATTGGAATAGATTTGGCCCCGGCATGGTTATATATTGGTTTGGCTATTTAGAAACTCTTGATTGTACACCAGAAGTTAATAACATGTTTATCCTGCGTACGAAATTCCCTGACAAACAGAGCATTACTCAATACAAAGTTGATTTGTAAGGAATTAATAGAATTATATTAAAATGTCATTCTTGTTGTTTCATTTAATTATACAATTATATCATATCACATTTTTATAAAAATAAGAGTTTGACATATATTTTTTAAATCGTCTTAAATCTCTAAGATAAATAAAGACTATAGGCAAAAAGAAGAACATAGGCAAATCATGATTAGTAGCAACAAAATAATACGTCTTTTAACAATCTGCGTTCGTAATTAAATAATCATTCAAACTGAAAATAAGTTTCTTAATAAGTACTTATGATAAGACTAAAACTATATGTTCAATAAATCTAGTGGGCATTAATACATTTATATTTTATCCAAAGGATATTTTGAAATAAACCGCTCCCAGCTTTATCTTACTTTGGGTGTAAAATAGGCATATTCTATTCTATTCTGCTCTACTGTTGTTTATTAAACGATGCAATTATCGGTTTTTCCATTTTGTTGTTCATAATATCGCAATAAGTTCTTCCATTAAAATTGGTGCTACTTCTGTTCCGAAATTATAATCTTTTTTTTTCCATAAGAGTATAGTTTTTTACAATCTAACCCTTTGAGTTAAGAATATATATAGTAAGTTTTGCAAACTCTCAGAAGTTTTATAAAATTTGTTTTGGAATTAAGCAAGTCATTCCAAAGAATGCCTAACGAAAGTTGTTATGTAGAAATATATAATGTTTCTAAATCTTTTATGTAGAATACTTGCAAATAGTGTAGCACAAAGAGTAGTGCCGTTATTTTTACTTTTTTTCAAAATTATTCCAATAAGCGTTTATATAGTTAATGGAATTAGTAGAACAAATTGAAATTTTGTTCAATGTAATATGTCACGTTTCTTATTAATGTTCTAGGTTCTATAATAAAGATTATCCCGGGTTTGTAGTATTTTATGTGAAACAAACTTAAAGTTTATTACTTAATTTAGCACACTATTAAGATGTACAGTACGATACAGAACTTGTAAGATCGCTTGACTAGTAAATTTTGTAGATTTTACAAAAATTAATCATAATTTTATTACTATTGGGCCAGAACAAGTAGACACCATTATTTTTAGACTTTTTTGATGAAATAATGGTTGAATATAATATTACAGATTCATAACTCAATAACAAGTAACTCTAGCGAGCTAAAAATCCCAGAACCTAAAGCGCAATAAAAAAATTAGCAACCTAATGTCGCTGTCAGTTTGACACAAATCACTCATGTTGGTAAATAAAATTTTGAACTTATAGAAACTTTTTAAAATATTTAGTTTATATTATGTTCATGTTGTATGAGTAGAGATCCAAAACAAACATCCATAATGACTGACGAAACGGCAAATATATGTGCTAAAACTTGGACACGAAATGTAGAAGGTATTAGCAAGGTAACACTTTCATTTAGTTAACAACGAAAAATTTTATAATTAATAAACTATAAAGCAACAGACCTAAAAGTTATTAATTTAGATCGGATACTCGGACGGTGTAGTCGATGGGCAAGCTGCTTCTTTTCAATCGTCTTTCGACTTGGGTTACTCACAGGCTTTCAGTTTTGGATTTGAATTAGGAAAGAAAAAGGCATTGTAAGTATTATGATTATTCTATTAAAATTACAATATACTGCGAACATAGCACTCAATTTTCATCACTATACTTTTTACAGGCAACAGCATCAAGATGAAGAACCACAATCAAACGAGTTCAGAGATCCAAGAAATATAAATTGCCAAATTTGTTTGAACAGAACTATGACAGATAATGTTGTCAATCTATTCAATAAACAAAAAGAAAGTAATGACATACATCTTAATAAGAAATAAAGTTGATTACAAAATGAATTAAGCAATCACTCGACAATTACCCAAATATTTCTTTCTATATAAAATTGACAAATTTTTATCAGAACGTAAATTGCAGCTTAAATATACAAAGTAATTATTAATAATTGATATTACTTAGTAGTTATATATATTTAAAAAAAGGTGCTTTGTAATTTTTAATACATACACCACAATTCTCAGTTATTAAAATATTTCATATCATATTATTAACACCCAATTGTAACACGAAAAATAATGTATATGGCTGAATTAAGTTCTAGGTTTCTTCTCTGGTGGAGGCTTCATGTTTTCCTGTTTAATCTCAGTTTTTATTTCCATGTGGCCCTGCATCCCATTAGTCATGTCCGAGCCCATAGGATCCATGGGTTCTTGCTTAATTGTGATGTTATTCAGAGAACCGTCTTGCGGTTTTTCTGAACCTTTGTCATTTGTGTTTTCCGTCTTTACGGTTACACCATTCTGGAAATACAAATTTTGTCAACATTCCTTCATATTTCATATACATTTAGTAATTTAATAGTGTTTTAAACTTGTCTTCTTTATCAGTCTGTAGTATACAATGAAACTATATTACAATTGTCATGTATGTATTGTGCTAAACAGCACACAATGACGGCAACTAATATAATTAAGTAATCCACCTACATTACACTCGACATCATATTACTACCTTAAAAATACCGAGCAGTGTAACTAATAACACAGTCAAGTCAAAAATAATATTTGAATTAATTTATACTATAATTTTAGCTTGTATATTTAAGTAAGTAAGTATGTACTAATCAGTAATTAGTATCTATTTCCATCAAACCATTATAGATCTTACCTGATTAGCCGCTGTCTGTGTTACTGGTAAAGGAAACTGTCTCACAAGCTCGGCTAATAACATATCCACCCTCTGTCTTTGAAACAGAGTGGAAGGTTCTTCTTTAGGAGCACTTGATACTTCCTTTGGAGCCGATTGACCAACATTGAACGGGCCTAAATAAATTTTCCAAGATTTTAGAAACTAATCTATACTTATAATAAATCTGTAAAGAGGTCAATTCTGTACATAAAATATATAAAAAAAAATATATAATTATAGTGGTTAGGGATCACTACTGTTGCCAAAAATGCAATCAGTAAAATTTTTGTCTGTCTGTATATTTGTTATGGAAACAAAAACTACTCCATGGATTTCGACGGATTTTAATGAAATTTGGCACAATTTTTCTTCATACTCTTGGGCAGGTTATAGTATACTTTTCATTATGCTAAGATCAATAGGAGCAGAGCAGTGAAGGAAAATATTGGGAAAACAGGAGAAGTTACTCCATTTTTTAAGCTTGTATTGAATATGGCAATACAATTTTACTGAAACATTGAGTTAAATTTTAGGTTCGTTACCTGTTTTATTTTTATGATCCCACCAATAGCCTTTACTTGGATGATATTTGGAATAAGTCATTGTTTCTTCGAACGAACATTGTAAATGATGGACCGCTGATAGCTGAGAAAAGACCATGTTTGAGAACAATTAAAATACCATGAAGGTTTTCAAAATAAGGATTTACTTACAATTCTTGAATTTAACACACTGGCCAGATCAGGGGCCTGATAGACTATTCCGGCAATAATATAATAATCTGCAAGAGGGATAGTCTGCATTGGACTTTGTCTGTGCTGTTTCCTAATTACATATAGAATTGGCTCTTGCACATGCAGCAGTATATATTCTAGACCTGTCATATTTCTGAAAAAAAGCAAGATATAAGATTGGAATTGTCATCATAGTTAAATATAATCAAAGTCATTTAACTCAGAAATAATTTACGGATATATAGCGCAAATCTATTTCGTTATTGTCATAACAAAGACTTCAAGACCAAATCTTAGAATATTGTTAAGCTTACTGCAGTTGATCCATGCTAAGACGTTGCATTTTCACTACTTCGTTGTTACACGTGCGGTCAAAGAAGGGATTTGATCTTTCAGAAAAATAATCCATAATATTTGATGGATTTAGCGACGGTATCCAAGCGGAGTCGTGCCAAGACAAACCGAGTGGATTTTCAGATGCGATAGGAAGGTGGCCGATCCTTCCAGGCATCATCTTGCTTACAGTACTAATTTACCGACTATTTATGAACAATTATTTTGATGATTAAGTTTTTATTGAATAGAAAAGAAAAGTTTGTCGACTATCAACACTAAACACTCAGCAGTGGTAGATACTGATATGTGACTTATAGTTATGACTGACAGATGACAACTTTGTCAAGTAATTTTTAACAAGTATCCTTTCCTTAATAATATAAAATGATTATAAAAATAAAAATTGTCTATTTTATGGTCTTTCAGTTACTTTTCAACAATTGAACAACTTTAAGTAAAAATTATATTCATAATGAGAAGATACAGCAATTCTCTATTTGATAATAGAAATTACATTTCAAGCAAATATTAAACAAATTAAATTAAAATAATAGTTCCGTGATGAAGATAAATATTATTCACTAAAAGTAATTACAGTAACTAAGTTTACAAACAATGAATCTAAGATTCAATGACAAGTTATAAGTACTGAAGATCAACACTTAAAGAGCTACTTGATGAGATCTGACTATTCTGAAATGGTAAGGGAATAGCCCAGTTTTCATTTAACGGTTGTTGACTACATCTATTATGTTACGATATTAGTAGTATGAAAATTTGAATTGATTTTAAAGTAAAATAAAAAGGTTTAAACTGTACTATCACTAAATAAGAGTTTTGTTTGAAGGCGGTAAACCTATTGATTTGTAGTACGTAACAATTTAAGCGGCAACTTTAAAGTGTTTGTATAATTGTTTATGTTATTCAAAACGCAATCTATAGTGAAATAGTATTAATGTTGCAACTCATGAAAGGACTCTCTAAATCTAGAGCTGTGACAACTTAGCTGCCGCCTGTCATTGTGCCACAGTTGACTGTTGACAATTGACAGTAATACTTAATCGTCTTAATTATACTGCAAACACCGAAATAATGAACTATATGGTGTATACAAATTAACAACAACATGTTTTCGCATGTTGTATTATCCGTTGAAAATATATCTTGTGACATTATAAGTGCTAATGATTTATATTTAAAGTACTAATATTATGTTGTGACCAAAAATGTTTAACGGAACAAGCAGCGCTATTACGGCAACTTCCTTGCTAAAAACTTCCACAGGCAGTGTTAGTCAAGGTACGGAGACTATGAAGGTCGAAAACGTTTCTAAACCTGCCACATCGAAAGATAATACGCGTGACAGTTCAGAGGATCTCCTTGATCTCAAGGGAAAAGTAGAATCACGTTTACTATCAATGTGGAACAATGTTAAATTCGGATGGACTGTTAAAATTAAAACCAATTTTTCCAAAGAGTCTCCCGTCTGGTTACTAGGTCGATGTTACCATCGTAAATTGAGTCCTACAGGATCTTTGGAATCTTCTACCGAAATTGGCACAGAAGCCACAGCTCATGAACAGGTGGAACAAATATATGGCGAAGGAATTGAAGGGTTTAAGTCGGATTTCATAAGTAAAATTTGGATGACATATCGAAGAGAGTTTCCCACTATGTCAGGATCCTCTTTCACTACAGATTGTGGTTGGGGTTGCATGCTTCGTAGTGGACAAATGATGTTAGCTCAAGCTCTTGTATGCCATTTCCTTGGTCGCTCATGGAGGTGGTCAGAAAAACCAATACAAAATGGTAGAGAATTCCAAGAAGACTGCCTCCATCGCATGATTATTAAGTGGTTTGGTGATAAGTCATCTGTTAATAGCCCTCTTTCCATTCATCAGATGGTAAGTTTAGGTGAAGCATTGGGAAAAAGGCCCGGGGACTGGTATGGTCCTGCATCTGTAGCTCACTGCCTTAAATCAGTCATGGTCGAGGCTTCGAAAGAAAACTATGAATTTGATAAATTAGAAGTTTATGTTGCTCAAGATTCAACTATCTACATTCAGGATGTGTACACACATTGTAGATTGCCTAATGGTTGTTGGAAATCACTCATACTGTTGGTACCTGTAAAATTGGGTACTGAAAGGTTAAACCCTATTTATGGTCCCTGCTTAACATCGCTTTTGACACTAGATTTCTGCATTGGAATTATTGGTGGCCGTCCCAAACATTCCCTTTATTTCGTGGGATATCAAGACGACAGACTTATACATTTGGATCCTCATTACTGCCAGGAAATGGTTGATGTGTGGCAGCCGAATTTTTCCCTGCAAACATTTCATTGTCGTTCGCCACGGAAAATGCCTATCAGTAAAATGGATCCATCTTGCTGCATAGGTTTCTATCTTCAAACACATCATGACTTTGAAACTTTTGTGAATGTTATAAATACGTTCCTGACTCCCCAAGGCATTTCTTCCAGTAATGAGTACCCGATGTTCACACTTCATAGTGGTTCTCGCAGCACAGTTATGAACCCACCTAATATTAGATACTCAATATATGAATCGGAACACAATTGGGCTGCTCCAAATTTACAAGACAGTGACACAGACATGGAATCAGAAGAATTTGTTTTACTTTAATATATTTAAATAATCTGCTTAATTATATATGCTAATAAAGCTTGGATAAACTGGAAAATACCACCTAACATTTACAAATTTATAGCTTCTTTTAAATTGTACTATATTTTTATTTAAACTGTAGCATAAAAGATTTAATTTAGATCAAGGTAATAAAAATAAAATAACATAGTCGTTACACCACTAATGACCGTTTTATTGATTGTCACAAAGTTTAATAGGCATATATTAGTTGAGATATAACGGGAATTGAATTAATTGTGATAAATCATACCAAAACATACAGAGGTTTACAATATTTAAGGGAAACGGAGATTTATATAATAGAGGATTGTAGTTGACAGCAACATGTTAAATAACTAACTGGACTCTCATCCATTAAAATGACTAAAAAACAATATTAATGACTAATAACTAATATTTAAACAGTTGCCGTCAACACATCTGCTTAGTCAGGGTACAATGTTTAAATTTATTAAATATTATTTTTTGGATATGTCAAAACAACATTTCACTTGGAATAATGTTATTTTGAAATCCTTAGAAATTGAAAAACTGCTATTCACAACTATCTCCAAATATATTATAATTTGTACAACACATTCACAGAAAAACCTGTTATTTTTTGTATAGAAAGACTTGTAAAAATTTGCATTTTGTACTTATTAGTATATTAGAAATAGATTCATTTATTTATAAGTATAATATATTGTTAACCCATTTTTATACAGCTCTAAAATAACATGATTAACAAACCTTTGTTCTTAGTTAACAATAGCTAGTATATATTTTATGTATCTAGTCAGATAAATAACACAGAATGCATTCTGTTATAAAATATTTTATGGACTGATATGTGGATAGTAAATTAAAATTATAAGTTACTACATTTTATTTATGCACTAAGCGGATATATAATTTCGTTATTTGATACATCGGTAATGTTGAATATCCAATAAACAAAGTTGATTAGCATTTGTTTTCTTTTATTGACACTGAAAATAACAATAAAAGCGTATATTAGTGTAATATAATTTGCCTAATTCTTATCTTTCACTGGTGGAGGGTGTCGGATAAAATAGTGCAGAGCATTATATGCAAGATGTGGACCGATGTTATGTAATGGATGAGTCCTATTAAGTTCATTGTGAGGCGTTCCAACGGTGTAAGGATTGTTTGCACCAGTTCCATGCTGGGCGATTGACAAGCCACTAAGAGTATAACAAGTATGATATATATCACGAGGCCTGTAAAAATATTTTATATATTAGATATGGCTATATTTGTATGAAATACTATTTATTCATATGAATTTTCTTGAGCTACTTACTTTCCTGGCTTGTCAATAAGTCCACCGTCTGAAGCTTGACAGCAAACCAAGATATATTCTTGTAAGGCACCCTGGTTGAAAAGTACTGTTTCTATCATTTCCTTGTCATCTATAATAAAAAATTAAAAAATATATGTCAGGAATGTTACAAACAGTTCAATAAGATAGGTATTAAGCGCAATTTAGGTATTAAGATAAGGAAATCTATGTACTACTTACCTTGAGATAATATTGCACTTATGATAGGGAAAATAGCACCTTGCCAGAACGAGTAGCAGGCATCAACAAGTTTATTAGTCCTACCCTGGAACCCGCCTTCCAAGCTCGTCTGTTTGTTTGCACACCACCTCAAAAGGGCATCTACATCACAAAGCTGAGTTCTATTTAATAAAGCTAACGAAGCTATACCGCAGTATGCATATCCCCCATGGGCTTCCATTCCCGGACAACCAGCAAATCCTCCTTCATAACTCTGACAACTAACAATCCATTCCGCGGTTTTATCAAATAACATATCAGTATAGATATTTGTTACTTTAGCGACGCTTATAGCACAGTATGCCCCTCTAATATCCTGTTCCCCACCTCTATGAACTGCAAATGAACCGTCAACCTCTCTGACCGACCACAAAAAGTTCTGCAAGGCGCTTCGGTCGATTGAATTATATGCTTCGTCTGTACCGATTATACTAAGAGCATTAACAGCTGCATAAGTAGCCCCCAGGTGTGAGAATTGACCTGGGCCACCTCCGTACCCACCATCTTTGTTCTGGCATTTTGCCAAAAAATTTACTACTTGTGATAATGTTGATGCATCTGGTAAGTCTTTTAAGCACCAAAGACCATGCAATATCCAATATATAAGCCACGGTCGGCTGGCTTCCAGACAAGAATAGGACTGTGGCAGTTGCATCAAGGCATTTTTAAGATAATTTGCATGAGAATTTTTCTTTAGTTTCGGAAGATCAGGGTCAACAGATGCCTTTTCCTCAAACTGCTTATAGATCCTCAGGATCACATTTTCAACATGTACCTAAAAATATATGTAAGTTTGTAAAATAATTTTTTAGGATTCATTTATAATGAAAAACGAAAATTTACCTGTTCTGATGATGTGTTCGTCACAATATCTTCGTCATCGTAAGCCGCTTTGGAAATATCGTCAAAACATCTAATACAGTTCTCCATACCGATGGTAAGAATTGCACGAGAAATAATAGCAATAGCTAAATAACCTTCGCGTCCTAATATAAATGTTCAGGGCAGGTTGTGACAGTGCCAACTCCGATCTGGATTACACTAATAAATGCATTTAACTCATGAGTGCACATTTGAATAACTATATTTGAGTTCATCAAGCATTGAATGATGATAGTGAAGGAATAATTTGTTTAGTAACCCAAAACCACTTATACAGAAATTACATATAAAACAAATAGTTAAAATATATATTTTTTAAGATTAATTATTTGTAAATGACTACATACACATCTTTTTTGCAAAATTTGTAAAACCTAGAACTAGCATTGCAAGGTTTTATTTTGAATTTTGACTGAGATAACAGAATATATAATACATTAATCACTTGATACCACACAGTGTATATTTAAAAAAAGTAAATATATTTAACGATCTATATAAAACCTGAAATAAAGAGAATATTATAACAATTAATTATACTCTTACATAAATATTATACAAATATTATAAAAATTATACAAACGAAAAATAATTTTCAACTTTATGTACTATAATTAATTAATAGAAGGATGCTGAAGACTGAGCAAAGTGGACGAGACTGATAAGGGAAGTGAACCCTTGGTTCTCCCGCCCAGGGCAGGACGAGCGGCTGGGATAATCGTTAAGATGATGATGAATTATTAAATAGAAATATCAAAAATTCTGATATATCAATGTCAACCAGTCAATGTCAATTTGATGTTTACTGTCAAAAGCACATGTGAAGTACATGTTTTAAGTTTATTATGTATTCATATTTAAATATTTTTTCATTATATTACAGTAAATGATATAGTATTAACAGTCAAATTGTTACATTTCAATAAACTTGCAAACTAGATCTCTATAAGAAATGGGTAAGGGAAAGAAATTTTTAGGCAAAAGGCGAAAAGGGTCTTTCAAAGCGGTAAACAAAAATAAAAATAAGAAGAAGAATAAAGAACATGAGGTCGTCAATAAGAAAGCAATTTTTAATCGTTACAAAGATAAACAGAAGGTAGAAGAAGAGTTTGCGAAGAAAAAACAAATGGAGGCAAGATTTAAACAGCAACAAACGACTTATTCTGAGAGTGAGAGTGAGGAAGAGGATGTTTACGGGCAGTTAATATCATGTTTTAATGGCAAAAAGAAATCTACCATCGAAAGTGAAGACGAGGCATCCAGCAGCGAAGAATCAAATAATGGAAAGTTAAATGACAAAGTTATTGATGATAAAAACAAACAGTCAGATAATTCAGACTATGGCAGTGATAATGAGTCTATCAGTGATGGAGACAGTAGTGAGAACAATGAAATGGTAATAGTCATTTTAATATCTAATGGAAAAATAGATATTAATTTATTAGTACTTAAGCAATATGTCTTAAATGTGAATGAAACTAATATTATCTGGATTACATTAAAGTATTTTAAATAATATCAGTTTCATTCAAATGAATATTCATTAAAGTCTCAGATCTCATTATGTTTTAAATGTGATACCTAAGATTTTTGTGTATTAATTTAAATGAAACTGAGATTTCTCAATGAAATTTTTATATCCTCCCTGCCCATGATAAAGGTTGCTAAAATTTTGGGTTAATGTAGTTGAAAAATAATAAATAATATGTAGTGATCTATGAAATTCTTAGTTTTATTTAAATGTCTCAAATGTGATATACTTCTTAAAGCTTTTATGATTTTCAGGTAGTTGAGGAAGTGGAAATGGAAAACGAATTGGAAACATCAGATGATCCGTTCATAAAACATATCCAATATGATTTAGACGACGGAATGCTTGTGTCACTATCAAATAACCCAGTAAATGAGAAACAAATCACAAAATCATGGCCAGTTCTAGGAAATTTATCTATCAGCATACCGCAGCCCGTGGAGACTTTGAAGAAGCAGAAACCAAAATTTTCCATATTAGAAGAAAAAACATTCGCACCAATCGCAACTGTACCCCACATACCAAATAACGTTGACTTCAAACAAATGTACATAAAGTCGCAGATACATGGAAATATTGTATCGGCGAATAAAAAGAATTTAATAAAACGTGATTTAGAATTGAATAATGTTTTCACACCTTTACAAAAAGAACTGTTCAGTGTCATGAATAATTACCAAGATCTGTACTATCCTGAAAGATCATTCACAAATGCTGACGAAATAAGATTCACATACTGTTTACATGTCGTGAATCATATGCTTAAAACGAGAACCAAAATTCTGCATCACAATGCAAAGTTATCCAAGAAATCTGAAGTGACAGATGATTTTAGGGACCAGGGATTGGTTCGGCCCAAGGTAAAACATATTATTATTTATTTAAATGATGTCATTAAAAATAAATATATACATATTTACTGCATTGAATTCCAGGTTTTAATCATTGCACCATTCAAATCATCAGCATATAAGATAGTGAATACTATTATTGACATCTTAGTACCTAAAGAGGCCGGTCAAGTTGTGAACAAGAATAGATTTGAAGAAGACTTCACCGGTGGGGAAATAATTATGCCGAGCAAGAATCCTAAACCAGAGGACTATGAGCTATTGTTCAGTGGGAACAGCGATGACACTTTTAGATTAGGAATTACTGTCACTAAGAAAACGCTTAAGGTATGTCTATCTCTCTCTTTTGGTTGATTCTGTCTCTCTCTTTTAATTATTGTCGTTTTCGTTTATATTTCGTCAAAGTCATGTGTGAATATTGTACTGAACTATGTAAAGAGGGATTTGTAAATGAACAAGATAACATTAAGAGACTAAGAGCTTTGATGATATATTTAATAAAGAATATTATGATAACTCATTCGACACTATCATTATGTTGAAGAAGTATTATAAAATTTGGATATCAATACCGAAATGTTTATTAAAAATATTATTCATTATTTATAACAAAAATGAACTTACATATATACTTAGTTGACAAAAAAAAATCTGAATCGAAATTCACCACCACGAGTTTATATCGTCAAAATAAAGACGTATAGTTTTTCATACAAACGCTCGCTGTTATTTGTTTTGAAGATTGTTGATTCACGAAAATACATTAATGACTAGCTTTCCGCCCGCAACTTCGCCCGCGTGAAGTTCGGTTATATAGCGTTTCCAAGAGAACCTTTCAAAAGTCTGGGATAAAAACTATCCTGTTCTTTCTCAAGGTCAATTCTATGTCTGTACCAAATTTCATTAAAATTTATCAGTGGTTTAGGCATATACTTTCGCATTTATAATATTAGAAGGGATTTACTTATTTACCATTTGCCATGTAAACTTACGGTTAGGTTGAATGGTTTAATATCTATTAACATCTAAAATAAATAAATTCTTTCCAGCTATACACAGACTTCTATTCATCGGACATCTTGATAGCATCACCGCTAGGGCTCCGCATGATAGTTGGGGCGGAGGGCGAGGAAGACCGGGACTATGACTTCCTGGCGTCTATAGAGATACTCGTCATGGATCAAGCTGATGTGTTCCTGATGCAGAACTGGGATCACCTGTTGCATGTACTGGATCATTTACATCTGCAGCCGAGGAAGACTCATGATACGGACTTCTCAAGAGTCCGTCTGTGGGCTGTCAATGGATGGTCTAAATATTACAGGTTAGTGTTCTATGATATCAATTAGGGCCTTGTTTTCATACATAAATGATACATACATGTATATACATATATACAATTCTTTGTATGTGTTTTTGTTCTAAATGGTTGGACCTACTTGAATGATTTTTTTGAATGTATTTACTCCGGATGGTTTGTACTCCGATATTCGCTCTATAGATGGCGGTGCACTCTATATCTAGGTTATTTCAAAAGAAAACGCTACTACATAGCTTATATATTACAATATCATGTTGTTTTAAAGTACTAAACTTTTCTTTCTGATGTTCACGCTAGTGGAGTTATTGGCAAAGACAATTATAAAATATACAGGGTGACTGGTGAATTACTATCAATATTTAAGGAGAATACTCGGTACATGATTCTCATTCGAATTATGTAAAAAAACTAGGTACTTAATTTTTGACCAAATTTCCGTATAAATAAATAAAGTGTGGACACGTTCCAAGTCTTCCAAGTGTGGACGCGTGCGGCGGCGTGCTGATACAACACTACGCCGCCGCACGCGCGTGTGTGTGTGTGTGTGTGTGTATACCTAATCTGTAGGGTGTTCACACGATGCGTAATTAATTACATAACTTTTGGTTAACTTTACTTAGAAGTTTATTTATATTTATGTTATATTAATTTTTATTTTGTCATATATGATCGTCAAATATCATGTCCTCAAGTAACGATAGTAATTCACCAGTCACCCTGTATAAGAGTTATGCATACATATGTGCAGATAAATCATGCCCAAAATTTGTAACAATGTATAATATACAGTATGTTAACTAACAATTCAAGTTCCCATTAATCCTCAATAATGTAGCATCCATACATGCTAAAAAAAATATTACCAATCGAAAACAAAATGTTTTTTATTTTTTTTTTATTTAAAAAAAATCATTAAAAATATTAAATTTACATGTAAAAGAAACACCTGTACACGCATATTTGAAGAACGGCAACGTCGCAACTTACTTATAAAAGACGGGCCGCGTCTGCGGCATTCGATTGATCTACGATTTTAAAGGGTCACCCGACCCCTGCCCCCGAACGTCCGCGAAATTTTATTTTTTAGTATTTACTATTTAGTAATCCCACGCCGCTGACCGGGATCGCACGTCTATTATTTCCGCATTACTACGTCTACGTATTTTCGTGTGAAAGATGCCGCGTTATCAGTTCAGTGCGCAGGAGTATGTGAATATGGTGCTCATTTATGCTGAGTGTGACTATGATGGTGCACGTGCTCTGAGGATGTATGCTGAGAGGTACCCTAATGCACACCAACCGCGGAATTCTCGTGTAATTGTGAGTGCCCTGGTGCGTATGCGTAATAATGAGCCGGTAGTGCCGCGTCGTTCAGGTGGCCCGCGACCCGTGATTTCAGTGCGACAGGAAGAGAACGTGCTAAGGCATTTTGAGGAGGAGCCCGGTTCAAGCACCAGAAGAGCCGGCCGCCTGTTCAATATGAGTCACGTCGTAGTGTTTAAAATATTAAAGAAAAACAAGCAGCATCCGTACTCACTTCAAAAAGTGCACGAAAATAACCGTCGGCGATTGCAACAATGTGTAGACAGAGGAGGTCAGCATATCGAGCAGTTCAAAATCTAGGTAAGTTTTAACATTATTTAAATGTATCATAATACCTTAAACATTTCGAGAACATTAAAAAAAATAACACTAAACGAGTGTGCCACAAAATTAATAAGTTCAGAACTCTTTCCTAAAACTGCTTAATACCTCCATGTGAACTGTAAATAAATTGTGTAATACCACCATGATCATTTAAATGCTAGCCTAAACTGTGGTTTAAATAAACTTTCATCCAACTTAATATGTAAAGCAAATTCATGTACCCAGCGAGTAGACCTTCTGTATTAACTAGTATTTGAGTCGTATAGAATCAAAGGCGGCAATCAGCACATTTTATCAAAATAAAGATTTTTATATGGACACACAGGAAATTTAAAATAACGTTACGTACTTAATTTACTTTATAACAAAAACGACTATCTCGGAGTGAAATCCCTTTTGAAAATCAGGTTTAGCATCAAATTCGGCAATCTTCAACAGCATAAGAATCAAACCCGGCATTCTAACTCATTCCACCAATCACAAGCGTCCGTGTGGTCACGTGATCTAATGACGTCTGTATGAAGTTTCTAACGAATTTGTGTCCGTGTTTTTATTGAATTATTTTATTTATTGTGATTACTGTTATAAAATAAATGTATAAATTGAATCATGGATGTACATTCTAAGCCTGTAAATTTCTTCAATTTGTTATTTTTATAGTACACAATGAGAGTTTAATATTAAGCGCATCAATACTTACATCACTTAAAATAAAGTTACGTAATATCATTTTTGAAACGGACGACACAAACCGAAAATTTTCAATTCTCTGATTTCAGTCTAAGTGTAGATTGCCGCCTTTGATCCTATACGACTCATTTGTTTATTTTGTAACAACGAGCGGGCGGCGACATGACGGCGACGTGTCGGCAGAACTCAAAGGCGCTACCGCCCCACCGCCCCGCGTTCATTACTCGGCCGTTGCGTGCAAATTCTGTCTAATTCTCTGTATTATTATTGTAATGTTATTGAAACGTGGCTTAGATATGATGGTTGAATTTGTTTTTTTTTATTTACTGTTTGCGAATAGGTACCTCAGTGACGCGTTCCTTAGTCAGCGATACATTTGAGACGGGTTAAGTGTTATTTCTAAAACTAAACATACATTTAAAATGTTTATTTTTACTGTTAACAATCCGACTACGTGTCTTTATAATTCAATATGCCGCCACTACAAAAGGCGCCGCTCGGCATCGTGCGTATTGCGACGTTGCCACTTTCGGCAATGCTACTACGCTAGATACATACGTTCTATTCCGCGCCACATACATATAGGAGGTTTCGAAATTATTGTGAATAAATTATTATTTTTTTATTTAGATTATTTTGTGCTTATTTTTCTATGCTATATTAATTTTAATCTATTAGTGATATATATTAACGTGTTCAAGGGAACGCCATTTGCTGTATTACATACTGTATATTTTGATATCATATGAATATTTTCTATATAATATATTCAAGTCCCACTTATATAATGTTCATTCTATATGTCACAATTAATTTTCAGACAGAACTTGATATTTTCATCTGTATCATTGCCGGAGATCAAGTCTGTTGTGAACAAGAAGTGCCAGAACTATGCTGGGAAGGTTCTTGTTGTGAATCCTCCAGAGGTTGGCAGTATACAGCAGGTGTTGGTCCAGGTGCCGCAATTATTTCACAGGTGAATGTGATTAAATATTTTTAACTTCCTCATGAAGGTTTACCGTGCGGCAAAACAAATAAAAATCTACAAACGCGCACACTATGGTTTCCTGCCGCGTCAAAATTATTAATTTTAAAATGGATTTAGTTGAAACAACTTGTATTTGCGGTGTGATAATTAGAGCTCGAAGAAAGAAAAAACGATTTTGGATTCATCCTCTTATTCGGTATACAACGGCGGTTTTTTCTCAACTTCACTAATAAGCATTTCAATATTGAACTCTTCATCAAGATCATTAGAATTGATTGACGTAGTCGTTGCTTTCAAAATGCAAAACAAAATAAGTATACAAAACAGCGTTGAAACGTCGTGTAGTGCGCGCATTCAAAGCTATTCAAATATGTTACAACAAACGATGACCACCGCGTCGCACGCAAGTTGTAACTTGTCACAGATCTTTCGCCGCTGCGGTTTCTCTGTCGTCAAGTGCGCGCAATACAATTTAAACCTGTTTGGTACAGTATTGCAGTGCGACATTACGCCGCTGCTCTTTTCTGCCGCGCGGCGAAAAACTCGTAGTGCGCGCCTGGCCTTACTTTGTCGTTTTGCTTTTTGTTTATTGTGACATTGATCTCATAAAGATGTTTTTACGTATTAAATGTGACTGGAATTTTGTTCAACAAAAAGTATTTATATTTAATATGTAACTAGTTTTTTTACGCGACTTCATCTGCTTGAGATTCGGTATTAGAAATGTTAAGGTGACTGAGCGAACTCTGTTCCACTTTAGAGGGAGTGTATCTAATTCTCTAGTATTGAATTTTTTTTGACCGAACGACATGAAAAATATCCTATTTCCTTTTCCTGGTTCTAAGCTATATTTCCACCAATGTTCAGTAAAATCAGTACAGCCGTTCTTGAGTTATAAATATTAAATAGTTTAACTTACACGATTTTGTATATATAGAACAGAAAAAAAATAGCTTCTCAGAAATTAACATAAAAACGATAACGGTTGCTGTAAAGTAGCCGAAACGTGGGGGGTATGTAGTTTTTTAAATAACTCGTACTAATCGAAAATATTAGTTTCATTTAAATGAATACTCGCGGAAATCTTAGATAAGAACGATGTTTTTAAAATAAAACGTAATTAATAAAATATTAATGATCTAAAATTGGTGCAGTCCGCTCAATACCTAGTGCTGCCATATAAATACTATTAGCCACTAGCTTTCCGCCGCAGCTTCGGCCGCGTGGAGTTCGGTTATATCGCGTTTCCAAGAGAACCTTTCAAAAGTCTGGGATAAAAACTATCCTATGTACTTTCTCAAGGTCAACTCTATCTCTGTACCAAATTTCATTAAAATCAGTTCAGTGGTTTAGGCGTGAAAGCGAAACAAACAGACAGAGTTACTTTCGCATTTATAATATTAGTAGGGATTTAATAATTTATTATATTTGAAATGAGTTGAGGTTGTAAATTTATTTTTCAGGTTTAATGCCGCAAGTCCTTTAGCGTCGGTAGACTCCAGGTTTGAATACTTCGTCAAAGAAATCCTGCCGAAACAACGCGACACTCTCATGAGCCACACTCTTATATACGTACCGAGTTATTTTGATTTTGTAAGAATAAGGAATTACTTTAAGAAGGAAGATATCGGTTTTGTTCAGATATGTGAATATTCGAAGGTATGTCTGGCAATATTTTTGTTTTAAATTATCCTAAAATGGATTTATATTTTTTAGTAGATATTTTCTTAGTTGCTATTATGAAAAATATGCTTTATTTCATCGTTTCTGGTTGTTACTTATGGTTTAATAAATTTACAGGATGGGAAAATAGCACGCGCTAGAGATATGTTCTTCCATACTGAAGCTCATTTTCTATTATATTCAGAGAGGATACATTTCTTTAGAAGATTACGTATCAAAGGAATACGGCATATAATTTTCTATCAACCACCGACTTATCCGCATTTCTATTCCGAAATGTGTAATCTTATGCAGGTAAGAATGTAGTATAAAAATTTCTATATTTAATCTGATATTATTGAAATTAAATGTTGTATAAAATATCGTTTCCTATTAATATATTAGAATTAATCAATAATTATTTTTACAGGAGAGTAATCAGAATAAATATGGCGGCAGTGATTGTAACATGACAGTTACAGTTTTATATTGTAAGTACGATTTGCCGCGCGCCGCGTCGATACTGGGTACGCGACGGATAGCCAAGATGGCCGCTTCAGATAAATCTGTTCATATGTATGTAACTGGCGATTAAATATATAACACAATTTGATTAAAGTGATTTTATTATTATCTTTATGCATTTATTGTCTTTTTGTAATATTATTTTCTTAAATAATATCGTCTTAACGATTTAAATATGTAGTTCAACAGACATATTATCATATTACCAATTTCGTTCTAGATATTCCTGTGCCATTAAAAATAATACGTAAAAAATGCGTGCCTACAAAGCACACATATCAGAAGTGAAACTTCTTAGGTTAACTAATTTGTAAATCTTGTTTATATTTGTACTAAAAGTAAAACGTTATACGACTTTGCCCTGTCTCACTTTTTCTCTCAATTTTTCTCACTTGCTCGCTCCCTACTCTCACTCCACGGCTAGTTACTTCATGCTACGTTCGCCCTGTCTCACTCTCTCTCAATCGGTCTCTCTCTCTCTCTCTTTTTCGACACTTCCGTTGCATACCGGCGTGACGTTACATCTGTAAAAATTTTACCCACCACCCAAAGGATATCAACAAAAATAAAACCTTTTGATTGTATATATTATTTATTACACAATTATAAAATAATGGAAACACGATACGAAACAACAATAAGTATGTTCGCATTTGTAAATAACAACAATTAGGTATTTATGCAAATAATAGTTGTATCCTTAAACTATAAGTACATTTAGCACACATCAACACCACACCAAGGCTTTACACAATAAAAAAAAACAAATTTCTGTCAACGTCATAACTAAGGAACTCCTTATTAACGTCAATTTGGTTTCTGAACAAACTACACATAAACTTAACAATATATATTTTTAAACAGACACTCTGAGAAAAAATTAAATATGATATTTAAAAAAATAAGATATAAATTTTAATTCAATATATATATTATCTATCAGATCTATTCATTACATTAATAAATTGAGAGCTTGTATTCATGACACGTCAATACTATATATCCACAAGGTAATTAATATCACTATATTTGTATAAGCACTAATTTCCATAATACCTAATGATTATTTCTAAACTTAGAACTCTTTTCCGTAGTTAAACGCTACATTACTTCAAATTCCCGTAATTTCCGTAATAGAATACCAGAATGAGATCGGAGCCAAGACGAGTCTAACCCTAATTTGACTTAAAAATATATGGCTAGTGTATAATTAGGATGTTTTTAACGCTACCTTAATATAGGCGTAGTGAGCTAAGCCGTTTTATTACATTACTTAAACTATTGGTGTTTCCGTTCACATTTCCCTGCCATAGACGCGTTATTTACATTTAATATCGTTATATAAATCATGATTCGATGTAATATTGGTGTGATTGATAATAACTGTACTACATAGTGATTTCTTAAAGTATGTATCACATTCAAATAACGAATTTATAGACGGCAAACGTTACTTTGATCTTTTAAGACCAGAACAGGCGATATTATATATTGCTCTAGTGGCAAATAGTTTTGTTTTCATGTCATGTATTCGACAAGTTTGCATCAGTATCAAAAGTATCGGTCTCTTGCAGGGGAAGTAACGTTGAATTTTCTACGGATTCCATGATTGTTTCTGCGCTTTCGATATTGTTTGTGAAGTTGTCAAACTTATCTAAGATCGGCATGTTGGCAGTTCCGTTCATTGTGGTATTGCTTCCTCCTGGAAATAAAGATAATATAAAATATTACTTTTCAGTAATAAGTTTTCATGCTTGCAATATTCTTAGAATGTATTAAAGTTTATATATAGCTTTATGTGTCTACGCATATAAAAAATTGCCTTGTAATAAAAATAATATATGTATATCAAGATTTATATTTTGAGAGTTAGAATGTGTAAAGATTCGGTGTCCGTAAAACAGTCACGATTATTTACGCCAGAGCCGGCTAAAGAAAATATACCTAAACGAGGTCTTATAAATATTTAGAAAAACCCGAATCTGCTGTAACTAACATTGATTTATAGACCTGGTAATAAACTCAATCACTGCATAGTTTCGGAGTGAGTGTAGTTTTCTTTGTGGAATGAATGAAAGCTTTCTTACGTCATTTAACGTTCAACTTTCGGTTATTCAGAATGTTAATATATTTATCAATTGGAGCGGCAATTTATTTTTAGCTGTATGAATGAACCGTACTGAAATACAAAGTATTGTTTATCTGTCTTAATGAATACAGATAACATTATAATTAAGCTGAATAACACTTGTCAATTTCGAAATGTCAAAGTATGGATATAAAAAAAAAAACAATTTTTTTTCTTAAAGCCACGTAACTCTATTTCGGGGTTTAGCTTTATACTCTCAATGATTTATATCTGATAAACATGATCATGGAACGGCTGAGTGCGGTTATTGTAACTGCTGTCTAATTTTAGAATTATTACTGCAACCTCGAGCACACGCGACTTGCACTTATCATTGAAGCCATCTTGTATTTTTAATTATATTATCAGAACATCCATTTGCATGCTATTGGAATGACAATATGTCAGATTAGTGATTGTAATCATTCGTTAACATGCACAATATATTCTGCCAATGTCGTTTAAAATATTGAAGACGTGAATTTTGGTATATTTTTGACTTTCAATCCACGAACATTGAAATTATTTTGTTTATGATACGCTTTTAACCAGATTGTGTGTTAGGGAAACCAATTATTATCGTTAACGTATACCTATTACATTTTCAAAAGTAACGGTCCAGCTAAAAAGTCAAATGTTGCATATATGGTGATATGGTTTTGCATATATTTGTTTCCATACATTCAGTATTTCGGTGTGTATAAGTCATGGAAAAACATCTCTTCACCTTGCCATATAGTTAAATATAATCTTTTTTTCCAAATAGTGTCCTAGAACTCAATACTAAATAGAAAACATTTCTACTTTGTAATAGAAATCCAAATATTACACTGGAGATTTAACATTACGCTTAGAATAAAATTAAAGATAGGTCTTCTGGGAGGAATAAAAAAATTCTTTATGGTGTAATTGGTAAATTCTTATACTTAAAGTTTCTTCTTTTTAAGATTTTAATATGAATTTTGTAAGAATTATATTTCGTCAAAGAAAAATCAAAGATGTGATAAAGGGAATAAGGAGTTCTTTGCGTACCTACGATAATTTTTTGATTATTTGAGAATTTCTCAAGTAATTTATTTAAAAACTTTAATGAAAACTGCCTCTATATTATAACGACGAATTGGAAAAGTAAATCAATTCTTGAGTATTACTGCTTTTCTTTTAATAATTGGAAGCATTTATTGTTTTATTTAAAGCTAAAGCTATATTAAGTACATTATTAATTTTAAGTCACAATTAAGTGGCAATTAATATTTTTTTCGAACTGAATCCTCCAATTCCATCGAAATTAATTTTAATTATTTAAAAGAAAATTTCATGCTAATCTCAATGTTTTACTGATTACTTTGCAGAACAGATATTAGACGTATCTGGTACAATTGTTATTGTATAATATCCATCGAAATCTTTAATTGTTTTTTTAGTTTTATGAGACATTGGACAGATATTACGAGGAAATCCGTTTTATATGAAAACGCTCAGTAAACTGTTTCTCTATGTGTTATAAGTGAAGCGAGTAGCGACGTTAATAGTCGTTTGTTGTGGAAGAAGGAATAAACTCAGATAAGCACTTAGTTTATGGAAAAACTAAAATATTAAATACTCAAAAGAAAGGACTCTTGAGCAAATAACGTGCTATACATAATATTGTAGAGTTAATTTAATTTTTTTTTCCCTTATAATAATAAGTTTTGTCTTTATTTTTTATTTTGAAAACGAATTTTGCGTAATGAAATAAATTTTAAGCAGTAATACCAAGAGTATCTTTAACAGGAATGTCTCTAACTGAATCCGTATCAAAACAACACAAGGCTTCCGTTCAAACTAAAAACTAATAAAAACTTGCGTTGTTTCTTATATGTACCTTATATTATTAATACTGAATCAACTATGAAGAATGTAAAACACATAGCAAGACGCGATTGTATTTTAATTAAATAGAATATAAAAGAAAAATGGCACCGAAAAATGTTGTGTTAATAATTTTAATAGCACTAACAATGCACATAAAGGTTGCGTGTCTGTCCTGATTGTTTGTGAATTTTGAATAAAATCTAAATAAATTTTTAAAAGTATTTAGAGACATAAAAGTTTTACGTATTGGTCTTGAAATATAAGTATACGAGTACATAGTAAGTTGCTTAACCGACGTACGTGTAAAATTCCAACTGCTAACAAAATCAAGCCATAAAGTTTAAAACAGGTGCGATTTTTGCCTTAACATCTGTTGTTTTGGAGAATTTTAAAATCAATTGATCTAAATTTAGCTTAACTCCTTATCAAATTACTGTTAAAACACGTTTCAAAGATCATTAATTCTTTTCCACTTTTAAAGATTTGACAAATAGTTCTAAGCTAGATTATAAAAGAATAAGTTGAATTAAATCATGTGTAAAAAAAATGTATAAAATATAAACAGCCATTTTAAAAATTTATTACATACGAAAGAAAGTAAATTGGGTCACGTACTTGACCCAATTTTTTGAACTCTACAGAATTGTATTGTGCTGGCTACATAAGTATCATGAAACGACTTTCAACTGTACAGCCAATGTTCATCTTATATAAATTACTGTCATTTCTCGGTTGAAATAAATTTAATAACTATCTTTTTATGTAGTGGCTTCACTTACACTGGATTTGTGAAATATTTTGCTAATGTTTATAAGTATTTTTTTATAAACTCACCTTAAGTTATAAAATTAAAAACCTTCGTACAATAATTTTTTTGTGCACGTAATATTGACAGATTTAAATTAAACCTTTTTGGTCAACAAAATAATTAATATTGTTTTTATCTATAATTCAGCAACGAATACTTTGTTAGAGAATTTATTATACTTAGCTCTGTGACACAAAACGTGTATTATTATTAGTTTTCCATGAAGCTATAGTTGGTGCGAGTATACTGTTTGTTTTTGTTAATAGTTAAAATACTCTACATAGAAATATTGCACACAGCAAAAATATGTTATAAATATATTAAAAAAATATATTGCGTATAGTTCCTCCGTGAGGAAGAAGTGAAACTTAGTGATGTGGAAATGAAAATAGGAAGTGGTAGAAATAATTTTTTTAGAGAACTCATATTTACTATTGACCCACCCATTTACTCGAGCATTGAACGTTTAAAACAACCTTTTTGGAAATCGCATTAGAAGCTTCACTTCAACAAACCTTTGTTTGTTGTTTTGCAATATTTGGAAGAATTAAATTATTCCTAACTTTTCAACCCAATATTTAAAGGTCAATTAGCCGCCAAAATAAATTTAGACCGTAAACTGTGAATGTAAAATAAAAAAATAAAAAAAATAAAATGTAAACTGTGAAATGAGGAAAAAGTATAACTTGCCAATACCATTCAGATTCAAAGGCCAATTAAAAAAAATACACACCATTCATTTAAGATTGCACTAAATATATTATAAAATAAACTTAAATAAATCATTTTCATTGAAATATTCACATAAAATTAATTATATATTTTTTTAAATAGTTATAGAACTATTATAAATTTTATGTCCGAGTTATACTGACTCTAGCGGACACATCAAAAAGAATTACATATTTACAAATCGCTAAATTTCGTAAATCATATTAGAATGTAGAGTTTATGAGCAGATCTTATCGGCACTAAATATGTCGTTAATTTTACGAGTCGAGCTTAAAATTACATTTTATAAAAGCACGGCGCTTTGAATTTTAACACTGTAATTAAATTAATTATTTTCTTGACTCGGTTTTTTGTTCTTGGTAGTTCTATTATTAAATTATATATTAAATAAACATAATTAAATACTAAGGTTTATGTTTGTAATAAAAATGTTTCTGGACATTAATTGTTTTTATTGAATTGGAACGCCACTAATAGTTTTTATTTTTTTACAATTTTTCTTAAGACAAAACTATTGTCATTTCGTATCTGTCAAGAATGACAGTAAGCATCTAATTAGCAGAAGCACTTGACTAGAGGTCGCCTTGAGGTGCAAGGTCAATAATTATAACTTATCATAATTATTAAATGACTATTGTATTACATACGTTTTTTTTAAATATATTTGTTTATAATATACGGTAACGTACTGTTCCTATGAAAGGTAAATTGTAATGTAAAACAAACTTCATTATGCTGTTCGAAAAAGCTAGTTTATATATATGAATATATTATTTTGAATTCAGTTTTCCAAGAGCAAATGGGTTGGTTATACCCCGTAACTGTATAGGTATATATTTATAGTTTTCAATATTTTTCGTTCCCTTGTAACAATCAGTGACACAACGTTAATTAAGTAATGCATAATTTTATGAATTTTAGTGGAAGTTTCCTCTTTTTTCCTGATTTTGATTCCGTGAGCCTCCATGTATGTTAAATAAACTAAGAATGACGCCCTACTTTGCTTAAGTGAACTAAGATTTTTATGACTGATTCTATAGTCAGTAGTAATCGAAATATACATTGCTCTCGTTAATATAATATTTACACTGCCTTACTTACAAGTTTCTAAAAAATCTCTTTTGACGAATAGGTACTTTCGTACAAGACAAGAAAACGTACAAGATGGAGCTAAATGGCATCGGTTTAAAAACAAAATTTAATAATTTGATGTTTATAAAAACGATTTTTTTTTATTTTCATAAAGAAATATTTTTTATTATTGTAAAAATTATATGAAAATAATGTATATTTTGTAGAAACGAATTTATTTTCACAATATTAATAATAGTTTATTATTTGCTATTAATAAGTTGTTTGAATTAAAATTATTAATAAGCAGTAACAAAGGAATACTACAGAATACAGATTAAGAAACGTAAGTTGAATGCAAATGAGGCAGAAGCGTTTCATATTTCAACCGTCAAAACTCACATATACTGAAAATTTTATGTATATAACAATTTAATTTTCCGATGTATGAAGCCGTTATAAAAAACAATTTCAATATACATTGTAGGTACGCGATTTCTGAAACCGTTAAAAAAAATTTTTTTGATTAAAATATTTTTCATTCCTTTTCCGTAGATGAATAGTTTGTGAGTAGCATTACAACTATAACAGATTAAAAAATATATATTTTATCTATAAAATGTTTAACAAAACTTAATTCTTTTTAATTCATTAAAAAATCTGTTGACATTATAATTTTAGAACTGAAATAAAGTTATAAGATATTTTTTAATACTATAATATATTTTGAATGTATTAAACGAATGTATGTACGATGTATCCATATATTGTTCGCTGTGAGCCGTATTTTTTTCACATCTATTTAAAACTACCACGCTAAACTGTATAATCAAAACAACGTTAAAATGTTCCGACTATAAAATAAATCCAAATATTTTAGTTATGATTAGTTAAAAATAACGAAAATAGAATGCTTTGCTGTTATAATACTTCGATATTATTTAGGAGCGGCGTTAGTATATAAAATTATTTTTGAGTAATAATATTGTCAGGCTAGTTATTGTATGAAGTAATTAAAGTATTTTTTAATACTAGAAAGCTCTTTCACTCTTTATAACTAGCGATAAATCTATTGGTTAAAGTATAAATTTGGACGGCGGAAAACAAAAATGTGCTAAAACAAAAACTTATTATGCGTAAACTTATGATTTTGTGATGATTATGACGTTTTGATAGGTACAAGTGTGACGGTATGTGCTTTAAGCTGGTATATAATACATGTACGGAGCAGCGATAAGAAAGATAAGTTCGAATAAGATCACATAACTTAATGGATTAAAGGCATCTGATAGTATAGAGGAGGAAGCGTGTCTGTGGTGTGACCTACCAGTGTAGGGCATAAAGCATGTGGGCATTGGTGTAGTGCTGGTTTGCTGAACAGTGTGAGACACCTTGCGTTGGGCGTACTGAGCGTCCTTGGGCTCCCAGAAGAACACGTAGTACAGAGACAGCATGATAGCTGCCAGCGACACGCAGAACACGTATATGATGACCGTCAGGACCCGAACTGTCTTCTTATCACGCTTCCTCTCGTACAGAGCGTCAAGGACGACCTCGTGGCCGGAAGCCGTGCCCAGTCTCACTGACCCAGCGCAGGATCGCATACTGCCAGATAGATACGACTTGCTCGACATCTCTCGTCTTCCTCGAATGCACTGCGCCGCGACGAAACCAGGTAAGTAGGGCGAAGTTATCGATATGGCCCAGTTACACGGTGCGGAGGCCGCGTCCTGGGTCACGCCGTCTGCAGCTTGACACCTCTTGACGGCGACTGCTGTTTCATTATTATGGCACCCGGTCCGGACTTCAATTGTTTATCCTTTAATTTCACGCTCCGTAATATCTGAATCTATTCCAGTTACTGACGTAGCACGACGTACGTTGAACGCTTGTCATGAGCCCCCATTTAAAGCATTCGGGATGTAAGAGAGGATTTATAAAAGGAAACTTTGATTCACTGATATAATTTAGTCCGAATTCTGCTATCAAAATGATATGCACGTTTGAATCGTGATGATAGCTGTTTTTGGCAGGCGCGTTATTTACGTGAAGCCGGTTAACAATGTCCAAATGAAGTTAATTTGTTGAGGGTGAGCGTATTGTGACAAGTGTTAGTGTGACTGGCCCGGGGGCTGGTGGAGGGCGGGAGGAACACGTGCGGCGCGCGACGCCTGTCTTCCCACACGACATTGATCAATAAATTCGCGATGTTAATTCGGATTTCGCATAATTGGAATATATAAACAACGGATATTTAAACTATAGATGATAGAGATTTGCTATTGTGTTACTAAGCTTCAAGTATTCAAGTTTTATACTCTTGTTATTTCTTAGTCGAATAAGTTCGTTGAGTTTAATACAAGTTTGTATTGTGACAGTCAAGCCGATTCATCGTTTTTCATTCAAACTTCAGTTTTCATATCAAGATACATGAATGAAAAACATTGGGGTTGTCAGTATAAAAAAATAAATTGCCAACTCTTAAAGTCACTTGAGAATTCCTGATATAATTCTCCACGATTTCGTAAATGATATATTTCTCCACTAATTTAGTTTCTCCGTAATCAGATATTAAAGATACTTTCTCCGGATTCCGATTGAATGTAGCATTGACGTCAAAATAGAGTTTATTTGATAACATTTGTCGTTTATGTAATTTGAGTCAAGCACGACACTGAAGCCCTTAGAGTTTTAACTATTAACGTTTAAACGATATATTTACTTTAGCCTAACTTAAAAAAACAGTTTATCAAGAATTTAACTATATAATTAAACAGAAAGTTTTTTTTTTCATTACGATATGTTTTACTACGAGTTACAATTCAAGGAATGTTATTTAAATATTATGATATATAGCTCAGCTAAGTTGTTTTTTAAAATAATACAACGTATAAAATAAGGAAAAATGTACGAAAAGACCAGTAAAAACAATTTTTTTATAATGTTGTTCACAAAAAAGTTTAGTAAAAAAAATAAGGCTTTCTAACAAAATATTTCAATTACATATGATATCTATTTTTATAATATCAATCATAGACATAGAAAGATAAAATAGATAATCCAATGAGGTTGATTTCCATAGACAATGCTACATAATTAAAAAACCTAAGTAAATAGGTAACAAAAAAAGCAAAACCAATAAGTAAAGTACGGTAATGAATGCGTAGTTACACAAAAACTAAATAATGTATGTAATTGATGTTTGACACAATTGGGTTATACGAACTAATTGGATTACAGGGAAACCCCTCGTCACTGAACTAATACCACACCTCGTACACATCGGAAATAACAAATAACCAAAACAAATGCTATGCAAATACGCCCGTACAGCTACGCTTTGCGTAATTTCATTCGAGCTTAAGTACAAATAAAAAATAATTATATGCGACCTTTATCAACACTCGTTCGGAATTAAACGAAATAGTATTTAATGTTTAGTTTTTTTTACAATCTGTGAACTTTCAACAATATTTATATCAACATATACATACATATAAAGAGGCTTCTTCTTCTACCTGGCAATTTCCCAGCTTTAGCCAGGGTCTGTCTTACATGTTGTGAATAGTTTTGGCCAATTGTTTTAACGACCGGCCGCGTGCCTGACATCAACCTTCTCTAGGAATGCATTAATCAGTGATGTCTAAATAGTCTCAGAATACATAATATAAAGAGGCTACAGTTTGTAAATAAAAATTAGTATAGCTTAGAATTCAAGAACTTTTTGAAGGTCAACAAAAGGTTCTCTAAATAGAGATTTGAAGCAAAATATATCTATTTGTCCTGAGTTATGTCACTAAGAGTAAAAACAACCTTTTTTTCTTCACATTCCATACAGCATTAACGTAAGTAAATTAATTTATGTAAGCATCTTTACACACGTCTTAAGACCGGACTTACTTGAGATTTACTCAGATAAATATAAAATTATTACAGAACTAGGACTGTTCCGATGTTTTAATATGATTTCACATAACGTACCGAAAGCATTTACCTATATATTAATTTACAGTAAATTATATTCGATCTTAGTCGGGTAAAATATCTTGAATTTGTTAAAATAAATGTACTAACATCTCATTGGGACTATTTTATTACTTGTCCAGGATATAAAATAGGTATATTTTTTATATGATTGGTTGAGTTACAGTTATATATATAATAATTATACATTTATCAATTCAAGCAACCAGGGAACCATCAACCTCCTAAATATGGCGATAAAGCAACCAGAACACGCGTCTACAGATTCGAACCTGATCGGATCTATGAGTTTTTTATGCAATATTTTCTGGTTAAAAATTTCATTTATGTATAAAATGCAGTAAGTAGGCTTAAAGAAAAGCATTATTTTAAAAGTCCTTACATTCTTATCTAGTCATGGGCTGTATGTATGTATGTCTGTCTATTTTGTCCATATATCAATTATATTCTTTAGTCAGTGCGAGTAAAAAACAATGGATTCTATTCATTCATTCTCAATCTGTCAAATAAATTTAAATGAATTTGACAACAATTATAATTACAGTAATGAACAACCATTAAATTGTATAACTTTAGTTGCATGTAAATAATAATAAATACCTTTTTTTTACATCTGTTCTTTTACATAGCTTAAAAATTCCACAGTACCTTTCAGTTTTGAGTTTTGACAGGTTACACCGGCTGTTTATGGTGAGTTAAGTTTTATTTATAATCTGTGGTAGCAACGAATGTTTCGTAATATAAATCCATATCAATAAAATGGCGATAATACAAATATAACCATTTCAAGTGTTTCTGACGCTAGTAATGAGTTTACTGACACCGTTGACGTCTCAACAAATGATGTATCGAGCGTCATACAGTTTTCTACATACAAATAACTTTAATATTATAGATATAAAGGAATGTATGTATGTATGTATGTTTTTTAAGCTCGCCGTAACTACTAAACCCTTAAAAAACAAGTGAAATATGTATTTTATCCATTAATTAGTGATTTGTATTAAATGAGTTCTCATTACTTATTGTAACTAATTAGTAATTCCCCATCGTTTTTTTGATACTTTTGTTTTAAACATATTTCAAGGGCATATATAACTTAGCATTTCTTTAATATTTTATACTCGTATATTGTAAAGAAAACCTAAGGGAAATAAAATAAATTTTATACATGTTTTTTTTTATTAGTAATACTTGAAAACCAGCGAGTTTTTAGAGATTGTTCTAATTAATACCCATGATTTTATTTTTACATCTCTATATATTTATAGAGACTCCTGTGAGCAAACAATTTAGAAACGTCAGATTAACGACACATTTTTTTACAATTTTTTTATCATCTTAATGTAAATTAATTAATTTTTTATCTATGAACTTCAAAAATTCTAAACTTCAAATTAATATTTTTTAAGAACATAATAAAACATTTAGTAACGGAACATTCAAGTTAATTAAGCTTAATTCGATGTTGTCTCGTCTAATAAAGTCAAAGTAGTTTAATTTTCTTTAAAGAAACTCATTTTCCATCTTAGACTTATAAGACGTGAGGTCACTGAAAATTCAAAGTATGTTTTCGTTACTTTATATTACAGGCTGAGTCTTTTTAATTATTCGAGTTTTTCATAAAATTAAAGATAATAAGTAAAGAAAGATCTCGTGTCTCTATATATGTATTATGTTCGTAATAAATTAAACTTGAAATTTAAGTATTTACAAGGACTTTCAAATTATTAGACACTATTTATAAATCACCATGAATCCCTACTAATCCTTACTAATATGTATTATAAATGCGAAAGTAACTCTGTCTGTCTGTTATTCTTCCACGCTTTCACGACGAACCACTGAACTGATTTTAATAAAATTTGGTACAGTGATAGAGTTGACCTTGAGAAAGAACATAGGATAGTTTTTATCCCAGACTTTTGAGGGTTCTCTTGGAAACGCGATATAAACGAACTCCTAGCAGGCGAAGCTGCGGGCGGAAAGCTATGTAGTATATATATACTCGTATATCCAGGATTTTCATCATCGTCCGTCAGTGGTGTCTAAATACTCTTAGAAAGTACATATGACTCGGAAAAATCACATTGGTACTTGCCAGGAGCGAACCCGCGCCCTCATTCATGAGAGGCGGGCCTTTAACCACTAGGCCACCACTGATTAATATGGAATAAAATAAACAAGCTACTTAGTATACAGAATTCGTTAATATCCGTCTCTAAACTAGGATTTACATGCATAGAAATATATTGAAACATTAATATTTTACGAGAGTTTAATGGAAATAGTGAGATTTAATTTACCTATTACATATTTATACCCACAGCTCAGAAACTAAGAATATGAATGTACTCTAATTGATGACCTTATTGATCTTACAAGAAATCCCTATTGAAATATTAAAGCAAAAATTGCATTACGATTAATATTAAAGCAAATAAGATTTTTTTAATTCTTTATTTTTAATAACGTAATTTTGTTTTTTCCTGCCATGTCATTTTTGTGTATTATTTCTTTTAAACTACTTAATTATTTATATGCAAAGTCATTGTACTTGTATTAAAAAAAACTCTAAAAGTAGATAATTTCAAATAAGTTATTAATAAGCAAAATATCTTAAATCACTCTTTGTAGGGTTTGTTATTATAAATATCATTATATACGTGTAAATAAAAAAATAAGTGAATAGGTATTACGTGAATAATAAATATGTATATATGAAAAATACATAATTATATACATTTCGTGTTAACACTGTCTGTTTTCATGATAATATTTCTCTATATTTTAATATTCTTTGATATATTTTAAACGATATTTTTGTTTATAAAGAGTATTACAGAGTCTATCAAAAAGAGATATTTATTTTAATAAAACTAAATTCTTTTTTTACTCTTTTTATATTTTTCTGGGTTAAAATGTTCGGTTTAAAATTATTTTAAATTGAAATTGTAAGTAACGCTACGGGCATAATTAATTTAATGTATTTCGTAATATTAAAGATCTGGAATTAAATATATTACAGAAAATTTATATCAAATCTCTTACATTATTATAATACATTATACCGCATAGTGAATTATTGAATTATTTTCTAAAATTGTCAAATTAAATAATAAAAAGACGCGCCTTTTTTATAGTTTTGATAAAATTTTTGATTTATATAATTTTCTAAAAATTTGAGCTAAGCTTTAATAAGCTCTGATTTCAAAATATATATTTCATTTTAAAACATGTACATATATATCTTTTACTATATTTAATTATTTTAATTTGATGCCTGTTTCTTTCATGTGTCTATTTTATTATTTTTATTTATTTGAACTTTTTCTAATTACATTTTAAAAAAAAGGAATAAAAATGGAAAATGTTCATAGAATGTTAATAATAATTATAGAATAGTAAAATTTACACGCTTTAAAATAAAACAATTTGTGTAAAGAAGAGAAAAATAATTCAAATACAATATTTTATAAAAATTAGTTTTTCCGTTACGGACCATTTAAAATTTTGATAACAGGCACTAACACCACAAACTAAACCATTTAAGTAGATACAAAAATAAAAATAAGAACAACTAATTAAATTAAACATAAATAATTTCATTAATGTATAAAAACATTACCTGTCGTATTGTAAGAGGCATCGTATGCGTAGGCATAGTCGTTGAGATCTCCGCGTCTAGCGTTGAGCATCTCATGAGCGCTCATCGGCTGATCTGGTGACTTCCAGACGCATATATAGTAGACCGATAGAAGAATAGCTGCTAGCGACACAGAGAGGAGGTAGGCTAGTACTGTGAATACTCGCACCACCGTGCTCACCGGCTTCTCTCGGTATAAATCCTGTGCGGGTGTTGGCCCGGCTTCCACGGAACCGTCTTCCTGGGCTGACATTACCCCAACTAGTTCATATCTCGTAAGTAATACATGCTCTCAGCACGGGCTCATGAGTCCGAGTGATGGGCCGACGCCGGCCACACACAAACTAAACCGATTAAACGAACGTCACGCCACAAGTCGCATTAAATTTTATAAACGCACCGAGATGTTACCGGCAATCTCTCATTCATACGGCATACCCCGGAAACGCTGAAATAGATTTCGCGGTATAAACTGATTCCAGGTTTCAATGTATTCTATAAAATAAAACGTACAAACCAAAGTTTAAAATATACCACTTATATCTCATACATAGCTTAATATAATTTAACGAAAATAAGAAAGAAATAACGTATAAAATATATGTAATTTTGCGCTTTTATCTTAGAGTTATTTCTGGCTTGTCTTACTAAGCGTTACTTAGTAACATGGTAAAATGATGTTTTAAACTTTGGACATACTTGTTATTAAATAGTTATTTCTTAGTTATTTTCAAAACTAAATTCAGAACGAATACTCACGTGACTTAATACTAATTAAAGGTGCATTCAAATTGTCACATTCATATTTTAAATCATAATCAATATTTATATTAATATTATAAATGCGAAAGGAACTCTGTCTGTCTGTTTCGCTTTCACGCCTAAACCACTGAACTGATTTTAACGAAATTTGGTTCAGAGATAAAGTTGACCTCGAGAAAGAACATATGATAGTTTTTATCACAGACTTTTGAAAAGTTCTCTTGGAAACGCGATATAACCGAACTTTACGCAGACGAAGCCGTTGGCGGAAAGCTAGTTAAATATAAAATATAAACATTGAACGCTCTTTAACTCCGTTTAAATTGAATTATGTTATATATACCCTTCTATATTCTGATCCCTATTACGTGACATACAATTTGATTATAAGATTTAATATTTTGCTTTACACTTTCTATGGCATCAATACGTGTGTGTGAAATTTAATTTTCGTTTTCAATTGTTATACCAATAACCACTGATAGTACGATAATTATGTTAAAGAAGATTTATACATTAAATACGTTTCTTTGTAATGAGATTCACTGTTACTGATAGCTATAGACCTATATACCCAAAATCAATAGGATTTTTTCTTCAAAAGCTATCAAACAGCCAAACTTTTAAATTTTATACTGAAAATCAAATATATCAATTTATTAAAAATCTATTTGTATATTATACGATCTAATCTTATGTATAATTTGTCCTTATTTACAAAGTTATGTATTTCAGAACGAGTTATTTCTGAACTAAGTTACAAAATTTATGTATTATCTGTTATCTACGAAAAATAATAATTCTGTATTATCAACATCGAGATAAAGTTGCCAAAAATATTAACATAGATATGTACTTATCAATACATATTTACAATTCTTACCTCACTAATATGTTTTTGGAAAATTCGTTCGCCTTGTACGGGACATCTTCTTTTAATTACTAACAAGGAGTATTTCTATATCAAATACACGAAAACGCGGTTTAATTTTAACTCTTCACTAAGTGTTTTATCAATCAAATTCCTGTTAAACGTTAAATACTTAATTGGTCCATTATTTGTTATAAATGCATTGAAAGCTTCTGCAAAACGATATAATCATAGCACTTAAAATAAACACGTTTTATCAAAGCTGAAATCGATGCTGGCGTAACAATAAACAATGTTATGAAAGATTTGATATAACATTTGGTAATGCACTCAGTTCACACATACGCATTAGAATCTAATATACTTGTAAGGACGTACAATATATATTAGAAATACTTAATAATAATTAAAACTATTTTTTAACAGACTGGTCTCATTACGTTCCAACAAGGTTAAACAGTTAAACGTTCAACACTCCTGGAGAGGGGGAAAAAGGAACGGAGTGAGAATAAATGAGTGGGTCAATTGTGAATTATAAGCAATGTTTATAAAGTTTGTATTAAAGAAACAATATGAGTTCACTAAAACTCAATCCACCCCTTTCTATTTTCATTTCGACATCACGAAGTTTCACTTCTTCCGCGCAAAGAGACTCCATGCACTATTTATTTTTCTGTTATAAGCATCTGAAATGACAATATTTTAAATAACTTTAAAAGCAAAATTACGTCTTATACTTCATTTCCGCCTCATTATATTTGTAGCCAGCAAAGCTGTTTGCAAAAGTACGCGGTATTATTTATACCTTACAATAAAATACCACTAAATCTTACTTTATGAACATTAGTTAAATAATACATACAAGTTATATTCGCGTCCGCGGATTGCTTTTGTTTCTAACTGCAAAACTAAACAGGGCTGATTGAGAAGACTACATGAATGATGTATCAGTATAACACATACAAAATGATTTTGTTTGACTTAATCATGACAGATAGGTAAGTCAGTTTATCTAAGCGCACGGTAGTGCGCCGGCCAAGTTCCACAGGCCGGCGCATGCCGTGCACTATATTTACACGAACCGTTTCGACCCACTTTTGATCCCCCTGTAGCTCAGTGCCTATTGCAAGTACAGAGATAAAATTTTACCTACGTAATCATATACTAGTACTTAAGCAGTATGCCAAATTTCATAGATAAAGCTTCAGTAGATCCTGAAATATGACCCTGTGAAAATAGCTAATTTTGGCACTGACTCACTGACAGGTAATCAAAACCTCTAGGCCACTTCCCATTGTTTTAGCATTATGAAATTTGGTACACAGGTTGTGTGTTATATGTAGATTAACAAAAAATTAAGAAATTTAAGAAATCGGTCAAGCGTGAGTTGCCTCAACTCTAAATATCGAATTTTTAATAAATTCGACCCACTTTTGACCCCCTGTAGCTCAGTGTTTATTGCAAGTACAGAGATAAAATTGTACCTACGTAATCATATACTAGTCCTAAAGCAGTATGCCAAATTTCATAGATAAAGCTTCAGTAGATCCTGAAATATGACCCTGTGAAAATAGCTAATTTTGGCACTGACTCACTGACAGGTAATCAAAACCTTTATATAGGCGCTCAGCTCAGCACAATAAAATACATAATAATGAAATATTAATAATTAATAATATGAGTACATCTATCAATCGGTGATAAATGAAACTAAATAACAAAAAATAAATATAGTTAAAAAAAAACTAAAAAACACGCTCCAATGATGAAAGAAACCGCGTGGAAACTAATTTAACCTTTACAACCTTGGAAATCAATTTAATTTAAATTGTTTAAAATAAACAATAAATGGTATTATTGAAAAAAAAAGCGTGGGGCGCTTCTCAACAAGTGATATATGAAGCTCATCACGCTTTTTTTCACAAAAATACCATTTATTGTTTGTTAATTTATTTTTAAATTAATATTATTGTGAAAAAAGTGTGGGGCGCTTCTTAAGAACTGATATATATATAAGGGATATAAAATATTGTCATGTATACATAATGCACACTGTATAACTTAATTAAATATTGCTTACCTAAAAAATCAGGCTTCTATTGTTATAAATTACTTTCGATAGATGGCGCTAGCGGTATAATTGAATCGCGATATTGTTTTGTCTGCAGTATATATGAATGAAAGTCGATAAGGAATCGATGGTCATTTCTTTCTATTTCTTTCTACACTTATGTCTTGTTATCTTATATATGGTTACGCTTACGATTAAATGGATCACTGATTTGACTTACTAAAGGATTAATTTTGATATTGCTTATTGATTGATTACTTGTGTGTGTTAAAAGCACAAATTCACTCTATTTCTTTTCTACTATTCATTTACCAACGATGGAAATTGTACATCTTTCGGTGGTTGACGGAGATATACCACATAGGGTAATTCCTATGCCATCAGATGGTAGCTGTATGTTTCATGCTGTAAGTTATGCATTGTACGGCTGTATAGTACGATTGTATGTACGATTTCTTGAAAAAAAGTATTGAAATCTCACCAAAACCATGCCTGTTAAAAAGGGGGCCAAGTTCCAATCGGCTAATTGTTTGCCTAAAAAAGGGGTGAAATCCAATCTAATGCCAAGTTTAGATGCACTTTGAAATCGATCATAATCATCTTCATCAACAGCATGATCCACTGGTAAACATTTGCCATTCCCAAGACTCGCCACCACACCCAGTCCTCTGCCTTCCACATCCAGCCACTACCCGCCACCTTATTCACGTCAACGGTCCATCTGGCCGAAATTCACTTTACCATACACCCAACTTAAAATATGGTATAGTTTTGAAAATACGTAGGTGCTTGGTTAAAAATATCTATAATTATAATACTTCTCAATTTGAACTTGGCAGGTTTTTGTGCTGTACGTAACACTTAATTAATTGTATCATTAATTTATTATTTAGTTATATAATTATTTATATTTATACAATTTAAATATTATATAATTTATATAATTAAATTAACCTGCCAAGTTCAAATTTAGAAGTATTATAATTTTAGATATTTATAACCAAGCACCTACGTATTTTCACAACTATTCCATATTTTAAGTTGGGTGTATGGTAAAGTGAATTTCGGCCAGATGGACCGTTGACGTGAATAAGGTGGCGGGTAGTGGCTGGATGTGGAAGGCAGAGGACTGGGTGTGGTGGCGAGTCTTGGGAATGGCAAATGTTTACCAGTGGATCATGCTGTTGATGAAGATGATTATGATCGATTTCAAAGTGCATCTAAACTTGGCATTAGATTGGATTTCACCCCTTTTTTAGGCAAACAATTAGCCGATTGGAACTTGGCCCCCTTTTTAACAGGCATGGTTTTGGTGATAAAGGCATTAAATAAATCTAGTCTCGAATAAAACATAACATTTGATAGATTGATTGATTTTTGTAACATCCAGCCGTTTGATTATTAGTTAATTATATTATATAATATATTACTATGTATTTAAAGTTCTATATATATATTTATATTTTACTGTTTGGTTAAGATCTTTTAGCAACGGATTCATAGCTCAACAGTACGGCTAGTGATTGCAAATTTTATACCGATCAAATTA